ACACAGCGGTCGTCCTTAATAATATAAAGTCAACTTCTAACACGATGCCTCCATCGGGCAAGTAACGATTGTTTACAAGTAACGAGTGTTTACAGGTAACGAGTGTTTACAAGTAACGAGTGTTTACAAGTAACGAGTGTTTACAAGTAACGAGTGTTTACAGGGAACGAGTGTTTACTCGTGGTAGGAAACCGGAGCACCCAGAGAAACCCCACACGTGTGAGCGAGGGGGAAACACGCTATCCCATACAGACGGAACATTTGGAGGTGAGTCGACGTTTTCGCTGTTCTCTGGCGAGCCAGGGCTGCTGCTCCATGACACTCACTCACGCCAAGGGGGGCGGGGGGGGGTCGCGATATCCGTGCGGTGATCCATCAACCCCTCGTCGCTGCCTCCACAGCGCTGGCTCCACGTCGCTGCCTCTACAGCGACGTGCAGCAGCGCGGTCACCGCCGTGCTCAACGTCGGCCTTGTCCGTGACCTTGCCGTGACCTTGTCCATGACCTTGCCGCGACCTTGTCCGCGACCTCGCCATGACCTTGCCGTGACCTTGCCGTGACCTTGCCGTGCCTGCCCATCCCCCCACGCCCCCCCCCCCCACCGCTCGCCCCGTGCGTCAAGCGAGGTCAGGCAGCTCGCGCGTGGCAGAGCTGCGACAAGTCCGTGGCTGCGGCTCGCAAGACCCCGCGCCGCCCCCACTCTGTCGCGTGCGACGTCACACGCCCCGAGTCGGGGTCAGTGAGACGAGGCACGGGACGAGGAATGTTTCCTTGACGCACGCAGCAGCAACCCGCTGGCTCGGCCGGTCCAACTCGTTTCCTCTCTGCAGATTTTGGCCCCAAAGCAAACAACGCTCTGCCCGCGTCGCTGGCGTCCGCCTTGCAACGTGGCCGCCGGCGACGGGAGAGGTTTGCGGTGAATGTGTTCACCTGGAGCCAGCGGGCGGAGCGAGGCGGCGAGGAGGCCGACTGCGACTCTCTTTTGGTTTTGATGGGGAGCGGTGGCGCTGAGGTTAGCGCACTGCGCTACGAACACGGCGAACGAACACCGTTCTCGGCCCACTCACGGCCAACGTCAGTGACGAAGATCTGAACCGTTGCCGCGCCTCCCCTAGGACGACTCAGCCTTAAATGATTACCTGGTGCGGTGTTTTAAGCGTCAGCACTGCAGAGATACAAAGGTGGTCGGGGAGTGATCCTAATCAGAACTCCCCCTAGTGTGCCGTGCCGACTTTTGGAGGTACTCGTTGACAGCCCTTGCCCCGGACGATCTGCTGAGGCTGTATCAGCCCGGCCGCCTTTGTCTCCCCAGTGCTGATGTTTACACACCGCACAAGGAAACCCATTAAGGCTGAGTCGACCTAAGGGAGGACCAGTTCAGATATGTGCCACTGTCATAATTATTGGTCGTGAGCTTGAATCGAAATGCGGCTCACTGGGTTCGTAGCGCACAGCAGCGCTCACCACTGCACTACCACAACATCGCACCCCCACCAAGCAGCTTGGTGAAGTATGGTCAAACAGTTGTGATTCGCCCCCCCCCCTCTCTCTCTGCGCGAGGTGCGGGCATCATGCGGCCGTGGCAGCGGCGCAGTGTCACGAGCTGACGAGTCGAGATGATGAATTGTGAATATCCCCAATTAAAGGCTAATTGCACCCCCCACCCCCACCCCCATTCAATTGTGCCCCCACCCCCACGCGCGTTAACCGTCGAGTGCCACCCTCGTCGTACGGCTCACGACACTGGTCGTGGTGGTCGTGGTCGTCGTGGTGGTGGTGGTGGTTGTGGTGGTCGTGGTGGTCGTGGTGGTCGTGGTGGTGGTCGTGGTGGTGGTCGTGGTGGTGGTCGTGGTGGTGGTCGTGGTGGTGGTCGTGGTGGTGGTCGTGGTGGTGGTCGTGGTGGTGGTGGTGGTGGTCGTGGTGGTCGTAGTGGTCGTGGTGGTGGTCGTGGTGGTGAAGCCGCCGCTCGTTCTTCTCACTCGGGCGGATTTGCCAGTCCGCCTGGTCACGCGCCGAACCCGTCGGGCAGCAACTCGGACCGCGCGCGTGGGAAGGGGCCGCCACGTGTCGCGAGCCGAGCCCTTGCGCAACCAACACAGGAACGCGTCTCCTCCTCCCCCTCCAGCCCTGCGCGCCCCGCACGCAGAGGACGACACCTCGAGACCCCCTCAACCCCCCTCCTCCTCCTCCTGCTCCGTGCGCAGTTCTCCGGCGATCGCTCGGCTCACGAGCCGCACCCGAAGGCCTCCCCAGCCGCGCGGCCACCGCTCGTACGCGAGAATTGTTTTGGGGCCGTCTTCCATCACCACGCTGCTCACTCAGTGCGGCGTGTGGGTGGTGGTGGTGGTGGTGGAGGGACGTGCTGGCAGGGCTGGTTCTCAGCATCTCCAGTCGCCACTGATGATGCAAAGACGACGATGACCGTGGCTCAGTGGCTGGGAAGCTGATCTTGGGTTTGTGTGTTGACCGGGTTCGTTCCTAGCGCGGCTGCGTTGATAACCGCTACTCCACGTACAGCCGAATTGCTTGACTCAACTACTTGAGTGTGGATGCTATTTTATATATTTGTGGTAGAATAAATTATCTAATTAAAGCAACCACGCTGAAGGCGGCTGCCGAGTAGGCGAGCGGTGAAGATTACCACAAGTCGCAGTAATCTGATATTAACCCAAAGTAGGTCTAACCGTTGACAGAGTCATTATAACTTAATTATAACTTTTTTACTCTGTGTATGGGTGAGTCAATCGTATGTGTGTGTCATATGAATATTTAAAGTCCGAACGTAATTGAGGGGCGACGGACGACACGAAACCGACGGAGCCCCACTGCGGAGCGCGGCGTTGGGTGGAGCCAGAGCCCATAGCAGAGTCTGAGTCGTCCACCACCACCACCATCGTCCACCACCACCATCGTCCACCACCACCACCATCGTCATGACCACGAGCTGGCTCCAGTGCAGTCATCATTCTCATCACACGAGGCCGCTAAGTCCGCTCCGACACCCGACGCTTGGTGAGTTTGACTTGAATCACAGCGGCCGACTCGATAACAATCGCGTCACTGTCCATTACATCCGCAACTTTAAACGGGATGACATGACGTGGGTTTCTTTTACACTTGCAACTTTACTCATATTAATAGCAATGCATGATTACACAGCCATTGACAGCTCTGCCAGTCAATGAAGCTATCTAACCACCAGAGGATGCATGTGCACGGTGGACACCCACCGTGCCCATGTCTCGCGTTCACGCGACGCCGTTCACTTTTTAAATCCGACTCGGGGAGAATAAACAACCCCGCGCGTTTCCTCCCTCGCTGTTTCTGTCGAGCAGCTGCGGCGCGACTCAGTGAGTCAGGAGCTGTGTAGAGACTCAGTGAGCCATCAACTGCGGAGAGACTCAGTGAGCCAGGAGCTGCGGCGCGACTCAGTGAGCCAGGAGCTGTGTAGAGACTCAGTGAGTCAGGAGCTGTGTAGAGACTCAGTGAGCCATCAACTGCGGAGAGACTCAGTGAGCCAGGAGCTGTGCAGAGACTCAGTGAGCCATCAATTGCGGAGAGACTCAGTGAGTCAGGAGCTGTGTAGAGACTCAGTGAGCCAGGAGCTGTGTAGAGACTCAGTGAGCCATCAACTGCGGAGAGACTCAGTGAGCCAGGAGCTGTGTAGAGACTCAGTGAGCCAGGAGCTGTGTAGAGACTCAGTGAGCCAGGAGCTGTGTAGAGACTCAGTGAGTCAGGAGCTGTGTAGAGACTCAGTGAGTCAGGAGCTGTGTAGAGACTCAGTGAGTCAGGAGCTGTGTAGAGACTCAGTGAGCCAGGAGCTGTGTAGAGACTCAGTGAGCCATCAACTGCGGAGAGACTCAGTGAGCCAGGAGCTGTGTAGAGACTCAGTGAGCCAGGAGCTGTGTAGAGACTCAGTGAGTCAGGAGCTGTGTAGAGACTCAGTGAGCCAGGAGCTGTGTAGAGACTCAGTGAGCCAGGAGCTGTGTAGAGACTCTGTGAGCCAGGAGCTGTGTAGAGACTCAGTGAGCCAGGAGCTGTGTAGAGACTCAGTGAGTCAGGAGCTGTGTAGACACTCAGTGAGCCAGGAGCTGTGTAGAGACTCAGTGAGCCAGGAGCTGTGTAAAGACTCAGTGAGTCAGGAGCTGTGTAGAGACTCAGTGAGCCAGGAGCTGTGTAGAGACTCAGTGAGCCATCAACTGCGGAGAGACTCAGTGAGCCAGGAGCTGTGTAGAGACTCAGTGAGCCAGGAGCTGTGTAGAGACTCAGTGAGTCAGGAGCTGTGTAGAGACTCAGTGAGCCAGGAGCTGTGTAGAGACTCAGTGAGTCAGGAGCTGTGTAGAGACTCAGTGAGCCAGGAGCTGTGTAGAGACTCAGTGAGTCAGGAGCTGTGTAGAGACTCAGTGAGCCAGCAGCTGTGTAGAGACTCAGTGAGCCAGGAGCTGTGTAGAGACTCAGTGAGTCAGGAGCTGTGTAGAGACTCAGTGAGTCATCAGCTGTGTAGAGACTCAGTGAGTCATCAGCAGTGTAGAGACTCAGTGAGTCAGGAGCTGTGTAGAGACTCAGTGAGCCAGGAGCTGTGTAGAGACTCAGTGAGCCAGGAGCTGTGTAGAGACTCAGTGAGCCAGGAGCTGTGTAGAGACTCAGTGAGCCAGGAGCTGTGTAGAGACTCAGTGAGTCATCAGCTGTGTAGAGACTCAGTGAGTCATCAGCTGTGTAGAGACTCAGTGAGTCATCAGCAGTGTAGAGACTCAGTGAGCCAGGAGCTGTGTAGAGACTCAGTGAGCCAGGAGCTGTGTAGAGACTCAGTGAGCCAGGAGCTGTGTAGAGACTCAGTGAGCCAGGAGCTGTGTAGAGACTCAGTGAGCCAGGAGCTGTGTAGAGACTCAGTGAGCCAGGAGCAGGGCTCACCCTCGCACCCAATTCCAACGGCAGCGTTCCACCCTCCAGGTTACCCCACCCACGTGAGCACGAGGAGGAAGCTGAACGTTTCGTTACTCATTCCTGATTTAACAGCTGCGGGGTTCATGAATCAGTAACCCAGCGGCAGCAGCAGCGGCAGCAGGAGGTGATTGCTGCAGTGGGGCCGTCGACGTGACTCCACAGTGGCAGCCTGACCCCAACTTCAACTGCGGGCGGTGATGGCAGAAGCCAGCGGTTGCTGGGCCTCGTTCAGGGAACGATGCTGCTACTGCCGCCGAGCGCACGACACTCGCGAAGTGGATTCAGGGGGCGACCAGGTTGACCTTAGACATCCCGAGCCGCAGCCGCTTCCGAGTGACGACAAGGTGGATGAGGAGGTGGCGTTCGTTGCTCTGCACGACTACAAGGCGAGGGCCCAGGTGGACATGAGCTTCAAGAAGGGCCAGAGATTCCGCATCATCGAGAGGACAAACGCCGACTGGTGGCTGGCTCGCCCAGAGGATGTGGACGAGGAGGCTACAAGAGGCTACATCCCGGCCAACTACATCGCCCCCGCGCTCAGCCTGGAGGCCATGCCGTGAGTTGACACGAGACGGTTCTTTGATTCGTAATTGATCGCGCAAGTTGCCCGATTGCTGGCAACTGAGCGGTGGTGGCGAGGGGGCTGCCGATGCTTGTTGGCAACCAGCACGAGGCAAATGTTCAGTGTCGGGGATCGCTCTCCACCGCTCCCGGCGTGGTGAAGCAGTCATCGATTGGCACGTTTGTTCACCACTTGTCAGCGTGCTTAACTTTGCTTGGTCGGGTGGAGGAAGGGTTTACGACACACAATTTGACTCACGTACGATTCTTCTTCTTGGTTCTTTCGGTAAAGTCGCGTAGAAGGGAAATAATAAAATAATAAAAATATAACATAATAAAATAATTCTCACGACGTTTCGGCCACAACGCAAGCAGCCGTCCTCGGGTGAAGAACAGGTCTGTCGGAAAGACAGCGTCTGAATGAGAAAGCTTTAAATCAAAATTTCACGTACGATTATCTGACCCAAACATAAATGATGAGTAATGACATTGGTCGTGAAAGTCTCCACGAGCACGGACAGCAACACTCAGCCCTCATTCAATCCAGCCCCTCGCCCACTCAGCTCACCGGCTGGAGGTCAGATGCCTCCTTGTCACCCATCTATCGCTACTACCATGCTTCTTATTCTCACGAGCTGAAGTCCTTGGACTTCTGACGCGTTGTCGGGTTGTGGACCGCGAGTCGGTAGGCATGGTGTCCGACGTTTCACTCCGCGTGCTGGGAACTCAATAGCAGGGAGCTATGCAGCATGATTGAAAGAAAATCCCTTCCCAGTAGAATAACATCACCCTTTGATTCCACCACCCGTGTTGAGGACTCGATCTTCCAGACACTGACTTTCATCTCATCCACCGCACCGTGCAATCACCACCTCACTGCAGATCACAATTCACTATTTCACCCACTCACTCATTAACTCACCCATTAACCAACTTACTCACTCACCCACTTACTCACCCACCCACTCACTAACTCACTCACCCACTCACTCACTCACCCACTCACTCACTCACCCACTCACTCACCTACTCAATCACGCATCCACTCACTCACTCATTCACCCACCCATTCACTCACTCACCCACTCACTTACCCACTCACTCCCTCACCCACTCACTCATTCACTCACCCATTCATTCACTCGCCCACTCACTCATTCACCCACCCATTCACTCACTCACCCACTCACTTACCCACTCACTCCCTCACTCACTCATTCACTCACCCATTCATTCACTCGCCCACTCACTCATTCACGCACCCATTCATTCACTCGCCCACTCACTCATTCACGCACCCATTCATTCACTCACCCACTCACTCACTTAACTACTCACTCACTCACCCACCCACACACTCACTCACCCACTCACTCACTCACACACTCACTCACCCACACACTCCGATATGTCAGCCTCAAAGGGTCTCCATCACGATGATCACGCTCACGGCGAACACCAGTGGCGAGTGATATCTGGAACTGCTCCAGCGCCCTTTTCTTTCTCCCAAATCCATGAACCACTTCGTGGCCAAACATCCTCAGTGACTCTGCACGGAGTGGGGAGGTCACTATCCAGCAGTGGATCCACTAAAGGGCTGTGCGGGGTTCTCCGCGCTGTGTACTCTGTGCTGTGTACTCTGCGCTGTGTACTCTGCGCTGTGTACTTTGCGCTGTGTACTCCGCGCTGTGTACTCTGTGCTGTGTACTCCGCGCTGTGTACTCCGCGCTGTGTACTCTGTGCTGTGTACTCCGCGCTGTGTACTCTGTGCTGTGTACTCCGCGCTGTGTACTCCGCGCTGTGTACTCTGCACTGTGTACTCCGTGCTGTGTACTCTGCGCTGTGTACTCTGTGCTGTGTACTCCGCGCTGTGTACTCTGTGCTGTGTACTCTGCGCTGTGTACTCCGCGCTGTGTACTCCGTGCTGTGTACTCTGTGTTGTGTACTGCGCGCTGTGTACTCTGTGCTGTGTACTCTGTGCTGTGTACTCTGCGCTGTGTACTCTGCGCTGTGTACTCTGTGCTGTGTACTCTGTGCTGTGTACTCCGCGCTGTGTACTCTGCGCTGTGTAATCCGTGCTGTGTACTCTGTGCTGTGTACTCTGCGCTGTGTACTCCGTGCTGTGTACTCTGTGCTGTGTACTCCGCGCTGTGTACTCTGTGCTGTGTACTCTGCGCTGTGTAATCCGCGCTGTGTATTCAGTGCTGTGTACTCCGCGCTGTGTACTCTGCGCTGTGTACTCTGCGCTGTGTACTCTGCGCTGTGTACTCTGCGCTGTGTACTCCGTGCTGTGTACTCCGTGCTGTGTACTCTGCGCTGTGTACTCCGTGCTGTGTACTCCGCGCTGTGTACTCCGCGCTGTGTACTCTGTGCTGTGTACTCTGCGCTGTGTACTCTGTGCTGTGTACTCTGCGCTGTGTAATCCGTGCTGTGTACTCAGTGCTGTGTACTCCGCGCTGTGTACTCCGTGCTGTGTACTCTGCGCTGTGTACTCTGCGCTGTGTACTCTGCGCTGTGTACTCTGCGCTGTGTACTCCGCGCTGTGTACTCCGCGCTGTGTACTCCGCGCTGTGTACTCTGCGCTGTGTACTCCGTGCTGTGTACTCCGTGCTGTGTACTCCGCGCTGTGTACTCCGTGCTGTGTACTCCGCGCTGTGTACTCCGCGCTGTGTACTCCGCGCTGTGTACTCCGCGCTGTGTACTCTGTACTCCACGCTGTGTACACTGTGCTGTGTACTCCGCGCTGTGTCCGCCGTGCGCCTATTGCCTGGTGGATGAGCCTTTGCTGCGACCCAAGAAGAAGTCGCAGCGAGTGCCGTGCAAGCGCGCCGCATGTCGGCAGCCACGCGGGGCTTGAGTCTGGTTCAGAACGAGTCGAGGTAAAGGCGCACGGCCTTGACACAAACAGCCAGCAGCAACTCCTGAAGAACTGCACCGCGGTCCTCCTGCTGTCTTAGGTCACCGTGAAAATACATTCGAGGGAACGTGAACGGCAGACAGCAGTGATGCAGGAACAGACCACTGCGGAGCGGTTTCGTCCTGATTAAGACTCGTCAGTAGTCACCGATGCTCACTGCTGCAAACACCGCCGCTGGGAGCCGTCTCTGGTGGGAGTCCCCAGCTCAGTTCAACCCGTGGGGGGTGACGGGAGGATGAAAGCAACAACAAGAGGAGGAACCAAACGCAGCTCTTCGGGAACGCGTGATGATGGTCTTTTGCATAACGAGCAACGGCCGAGTGCTGCGTGTGCCCCCGTGCCTGCGTGGCGGAGGTGGTGGCGGTGGGTTTGTTGTTGTCGCCTCGCGGGTTTCCGCCTCGCGCGGTGTTGCTGCCCCGGGGGGTTTCCCGTCGTTTCGCGAACAAATCAGGTCACTGACGTCACCAAGCCGGTGCTGCGCCACAAGCCGCTTCGTGCGCGGAGGCGACTGTGTCCGTCGACCCGCACCGAGGGCCGCACAGGCAACAACCCACTCTGGGCAGCGCTCCTTCAGCGTGTGTGGCGGGGGAGCGGGGGCGCAGTGGTTAGCGCACTGTGCAGCGAAACCCGGTGACCCGAGTTCGATTTGGGCTCACTACCAATGACAGTGGAGCATATCTTAAACCTTGTTCTGGGCCTCCCCGTGGTCGTCTCGGCATCAAATTAGTACTTTGTGCGATGTGAAAACATGAGCATTGGGGAGACAAAGGTGGTTTGGCGTGGTGCTGACCACCCACCCCCTCATGTGCTGCGCCAGCCTTCACAAATTGCTTCTCGCGAACAGCAATTAGCCCCTCAGCAGTCTGCTAAAGGCTACAGGGAGGACCTTTGTGTTTGTGTGTGCAGGGGGAGTGGATAACATCATGATAAAACAAACACTGTTGTGTCTGAACCTGTTCTGGGCCTCCCTTGGGTCGACTCAGCGTTAAACGATGGCACGGTTTTGTGGGTGAACAGCAGCATTGGAGAGACAAAGACGGCTCTGGGCACGACGGTGCTGACCTTAATAGTGGGTTGTGAACTGGACTTGCAGTCCCACCACTGGGTGTGGATCTACTCGGGATCATTACACAACAGCTGCGTCCATACCTACGCTGCTCACAAGGCAGATAGATACTTGCCGTCTGGCAGCGCCATAGTGATGCTCGTGCCTCGCAGCAAAAAGCGCCTGGGTTCGATTTCCAACTAGGGCTCCTCTCTGCGTGGTGTGTGCGTGTTCTCCCCCCTACTCGGCATGGATAGCTAAACCCACACATACTTCTAGTGCCCCTGGCATTGGCCAAACAAACATCCCAATACTGAAAAATTACCTGCAAATTACTCAGTTGGGATCACACACAACACCAGCAGCAGCAACGTCGCCCCATGTACTGCGAAAACTTGGCAGGACCCTCCTGAAAAAGAGCATTGAGACTCGGTGGGATTTCCCTGCGTTACCGAGTTGCATAACGATAGCAAGAGTAATGCGAGCATGACATGACCTGGTCAAGCCCACGTTTGTGAGGTCATTGTAATTCATCGAACTTCAATAACTCTCAAACATCTAAGCACTCACACCCTAAACATATAGAGGGTTGTAGAGTTTGGGCAATCGTTGGTAGCACCGGCTCCTCACTGAGAGGCTGATATCTTCCGGCTCGTCCGTGGTTCCTCCTCGTGGTGCCTCTGAGTCGCCAACACCAATGCCGCCGCACGGCTCTCACGAAGTGCACGCGATGGCCGCCGGGTCACGTTTGTCGTCCCCCAGGTGGTACTTTGGGCTGATGCAGCGGCAGGAGTGCGAGAGGCTTCTGAAGAAGGAGCCCAGGCAAGAGGGAAGGTTCCTGGTGCGCGCCAGCCCCTCGCGCCCCGACTCCTACTCGCTCTCCGGTAACGTCTTCTCCCTGCCGCGTTTGGACAGAGGGCGGCAGCCGGCTACGGTCGTGGGTCTAAAGGGGCAGCCGGTCGGAGAGCAGCGGCTGGCTACAGTCGTGCGTCTAACGGGGCAGCCGGTCGGAGAGCAGCGGCTGGCTACGGTCGTGGGTCTAATGGAGCAGCCGGTCCGAGAGCAGCGGCTGGCTATAGTCATTCGTCGAACGGGGCAGCGTCCCGGGAGCTCGATGCTTTTGTGGGCAACTGCCGTGCACTTTTCCGGATGGTTCAGATCAAAGTGGTTCGCAGAGGGCGGCAGAGCAGCGAAGGCCACGGCGTTGTCCGGTACTCAGTAGTTTCGTTTTTAGTTTACTTGTGCACTCCAGCGTCTGTTGCTGTACGCCTTCACCAACGCACAGCGACCGCCTTGGTGAAGTACGGTCAAGGAACCCCCACGATGTGCCATCACGTGAAACACCTCCAGCACTTCCTGACCAAGTGCATTGTGGTCCTCTTGGCTTGGGTCACTATCAGAGTACACTCACTCTGTAGAACAGGGGGAGATAATACAAACTCCACTCACTCACTCTGTAGAACAGGGACAGATCATACAAACTATACTCATTTGCTCTGTAAAACAGGGGGAGATCACACAAACTCTACTCACTCGCTCTGTAGAACAGGGGGAGATCACACAAACTCCACTCACTCACTCTGTAGGACAGGGGGAGATCACACAAACTCCACTCACTCTGTAGTACAGGGGGAGATCATACAAACTCCACTCACTCTGTAGGACAGGAAGAGATCTTACAAACTCCACTCACTTACTCTGTAGAACAGGGGGAGATCATACAAACTCCACTCACTCACTCGGTAGAACAGGGGGAGATCATACAAACTCCACTCACTCTGTAGAACAGGGGGAGATCATACAAACTACACTCACTCACTTTGTAGAACAGGGGGAGAGAATAAAAACTACACTTATTCACACACTCTGTAGGCCAGGTCGAGAGAACATAATAAAGGTTTGTGGGTTCGGGATCGCGTTGTTTATAAATGTGTCGCAACCCTCCACCCGCAGACACGGCCAATCAGTAAAACATGTGTCATTTAACACGTAGGCTTTCGCGACCAATATTCATAATATAGGTTTTTGGGTCAGATCGCGTTATTTATAAATGTGTCGTAACCCTCCACCACCCGACACGGCCAAACAGTAAAAAATGTGTCACGTTTTCAAAGGACAAAATAATTCACTTCTTTAGCCCACCGGTGTGCTGAAGAGAGGATCAATAGCATTTTAAATTTGAGTACGACGTTTCGCTGATAATTACAATCAGCGTCATCGGTCAAGAATGGTGAAGCTCTCCTGTTGCTTCCGTTCTTAAATAGAGCAGCCTCAGGGTGACGTCATCATTTAATTCAATTCAATCTGGTGCAGTGATTCGAGGCAAGGAGGGGGGGGTATTGTAATTATATAGATTGGTAATCATTCAATTGTTATTCATTGGTATTTGTTTCCCTTATAAGGAATTGTAATTGTATCAAATAAATACAATTACAATTGTTTGTTATGAAGTCTAGAGAATGTATTAATTTGGTTATTTTTTGTTAGATTAAATACATTATCAGCCGATTGTTGTGTTATAGTATCGATTATATTTTAATAATGCATGGATACACTTGCTGAAATTTAAGTGCAAGTGCCTTAGAGATTCCGAAATGTAAGACAATTCACTCCTGTTGTGCTGTATTCTCTCTAGTAATAATAATTAGCTGGCTTTGTGTAGTATTTGGTTAACTTTAACAGACTTTACGTGACGTGTTATTGTAACTGCGTTTGGTATTTTACCTTCGAACATATCAACTCCACGCAAAAAGGTGTCCGGGTCAAAGTCAGACCCAGGCCCTTTCTTCTGACTGTGAGGTCCGTATCCAGCAGTGCCACGGTGGTGAGATGTTAACTACCTCGCCTGGTATGCAGGAGGGCTTAGGTTCAATCCCGACTGACTTCTGTATATTTGGAGTTTGCTTGTCTCTCTCCCCGTGGTAGCGTGGATGTTTCTCTGGGTTCTCTCTGCACATGTCGAGTCAACCTCATGCGTCTAGAGCAGTGGTTCTTCCTCAGCTGGAGTACACCCTGCACCCCCTGGGGGTGCAAGACATGGGCAGATTTGTTCACAAGGTAAATCATTGAAACACAAATTAAGCACGGGCACATGAGTACAACTACCTTGTTTCATCAAACCCCAATGTATTTATTAACATTGTAAACATTTTTTTTTACGATTGAGAACTAAAGGGGTGCAAGGCCGCAGTCAAGGTTAAGAACCACTGGTCGAGCGTCTTTGGCTCCTGTAAATTAATAAACCACTTCGTTGAGGTATCATTTGTGGCCAGGTCGCTTCTGAAAAAGAGCAACATAGCTCAGTGGGCCTTACCTGGTCAAATAACAACATTGTTTAGTTGAGTCGTTTTGCTGTCAGTGTTTTGTGGTTCTGCTATGCCCGTGATGACAATCCGTGCGCATGTGAACGCCTGTCTCGAGTGTTATTGTGTTGTGGCGCCGGCTGGTGGGTGGGCAGTGTACGCGCAGAGCGAGGTGGTGCACTACCTCATGACGAGGGGACCGGACAGGCGCGTGAGCATCCAGGATGGCCTGGCCTTCGCCTCCGTGCTGCAGCTGGTGGGGCACTACCTGGAGGCGCCCGACGGGATGGTCTGTCCCCTCGGCCCGCCCTGCGAGAAGGTGCCAGCGCACAGCACCCGTCGCGCCAACGGCAGTGCAGATTCGTGTCCGAGCCACCCCTCCATCGCGGCAGGGCAACCCGCAGTGCTAGCGGCAGTCGCCCAAGCTCTGCGGTCCTCTACCTAGTAAGACTTTTCAGCTGATTAAATTCGTGTTCATACACGTGACAGAAAACTGAAGGAGCCCGGAGAAAACCCACGCTTGGGATGGAGCGCCACTCTACTCCCTACAGATGGGACAGATTGAGTTCAGTCCGCACTTTGCTGTACCGCCTTCTCCTGGCGAGCCAATGCTACGGCTCCTCCTCGACGCCAACCCCCTGCGGGAAGGAGGCAGATTTGCAACTTTAGTGTGTGCGATCTGCTAACCCCACCGCCTGCAACTCCCAACTCCCCTTCCCGCGTTGGCCAGGAGTACGTGCCAACCATCAGCAGCCTGAGCCCGGAGCTGTTCAACGAGTGGGAAGTGCCACGCGAGTCCATCGAGCTGGGCGAGAAGCTGGGAGCGGGCCGGTTCAGCACCGTGTTCGAGGGCCGGTGGAACGGTCGCATCAGAGTGGCCGTCAAGATCTTCAATGTGGGTGGGTGCGGTCTCGCTCACACACGCGGGCGGCCTGCACCCAGCGCCGTGGGTCGTGGGATGGGAATCGGCTTGTGGGTAGTGGGGTGGGACTGGGTGTGTGGGTAGTGGGACTGGGTGTGGGGGTAGTGGGGTGGGACTGGGTGTGGGGGCAGCAGGAGCGGCCAGGCAGTGAGGAGCTGATACCAGCAATTGTCCAAGTTCTGCAGTCCTCTCTATATCCCGGTGTTCTCTCTGTGCTGTACTCGCCGCTCGTTCTCTCGTGTTAGATTTGGGGCAGATGGAGGGATCCTGCAGCGACGAAGGCAACGGCCAGCGCGCATCGTCGCAATGTGAGTTGCACATTTCCCTTGCAATGGACCTAAACTTTTTTTGTCATTATTTGAGCACGACAGTTGAATATTTTTTCACGCCATTTAACATTTTCACCTTTAAAAAGAGTTTCATGCATGATACAAAATTTCAATCCCTTAGGTTTTTTTATTTCAATAATTTTAATAAAAACAAAAAATCTTTATTCACGTTTCCGAGCCAAGGAGCATTCCAGCAATGAAATCCGCACCCGGCGGTGGTGATTCACAAACAGTGGCACCATTGAGGCTAAACGAGCACCGGCACTCACGCCAACTGTGAACTTTGCCCTTTCAGCCACGACCCCGAAGGATTTCCTGAGCGAGGTGAAGAAGATGACTCTTTTCAAGGACGAGAACGTCCTCAAGATCTTCGCCATCTGCCAGGACCGCTCCGCCTGCTGGATCGTCACAGAGCTCATTCCGAACGGCAGCCTCCAGCTGTACCTGGGTGACGGTCCCTCCCTCCCCCTCCCTCCCCTCCCTCTCCCTCCCCCTCCCTCTCTCTCTCTCTCCAGCTGTACCTGGGTGAAGCTCCCCCCCTCCCTCCCCCTCTCTCTCCCTCCCCCTCCCTCTCTCTCTCTCTCCAGCTGTACCTGGGTGAAGCTCCCTCCCCTTCCATCCCTCTTTTTTTGTGGGTTTAATTTATTTTATTTCTCTGCGACTTTACCGAAATAACCCAAATAACGAGATGTTATTGTTTTTTAATACGGTGTTCGCTTTCAACGGGTTGCGATATTTCAACATTGCTGTAACAATAATGTATTTATATAAATATATAAAGACATGAATCCCCCCCCACCCGTCACCCATCTGGAATTTCTACAACTCACATTCCGCCCTCGTCCACACAAAGACAAAGATCCCCCGTGTAGCCTCTTACAGACAGCAGGGGCAAGTGCTGTTAGCGAGCAGCAGCAGCACCTATGAAGGCTCCTCCCCACTCACTCTCTCTCCCCCCACTCGCTCACTCTCCCCCCACTCTCTCACTCTCCCCACTCTCTCTCTCTCCCCCCACTCGCTCCCCTCCCTCCCCCTCCCTCCCTCCCCCTCCCTCTCCCTCCCCCTCCCTCTCTCTCTCTCCAGCTTTACCTGGGTGAAGCTCCCTCCCTCCCTCTCTCTCCCTTTTACGATCAGAGGAAACAAGAAGATGCCCGGTGTAGTCGGCACTTTGCTTCGTTCATCATTTAGTTTTTTATAGTTTTTTCAATGCTTTGCTTTATGTGCCCCCCCCTTTTTAAATGAAAGATTTCACAAAAGATTTCACGCTCTGCTCTCCTCCTCCTCTCTCCATTCCATATCTCACGTCTTTCATTCACCCCCTCGCTACCCTCTCCTAACCCTCCCCTCCTTCTCTCCCCTCGCTCTCTCTTTACTCTCTTGTCCTCCTCCTGTCCCCGTACTTTCCACACTCTCCCTTCAAACTCACCCCCCCCCACTCTCCCTTCCCTCTCTCTCTTTTCTCTCCTAACTCTCCCACCCTCTCCCCTCACTCTCCCCACTCTCTCCCTTCCCTCTCTCTTTGATCTCCCCTCGCTCTCTCCCTCCCTCTCTCCCTCCCTCGCTCTTTCCCTCCCTCTCTCTCCAGCAATATCTGGCTGAAGCTCCTGGTTGAAGCTGTAACATTGTCGGCGGCAGCGGCAACCAACGCGCCTCGTAGCAAGAAGGTGCCTGGGTTCGATTCCGGACTCGCTGCCTTGCCGTGTGTGGAGTGTGCATGCTCCCACTCTGTTCTGCAGAGTGTGAGCGACAGTGTGAGCGTGTGCCATTTGTATGATCTCCCCCTGTGCTCCACGGGTTTCCAATGGGCTCTGCAATTTCTACTCGTAGCTGAGAGGTATAACAATGTTACCGTTAATAGCCACAAAACATTAAAATGCTGCAAAATCACCTGCAAATTACTTCGTAGGGATCGCACACAGCAGCAGCAGGAGCAGCATCGCTGCCCTGATGGATACCTGTACCTGTCTGCGAAGCACAGCGCCTTACGTTGAACGGCCGCCCCTACTGGGCATCTGTGAAAAGAGCTTCATAGCTCATCGGATTTTTCCAGGATGAATAAAGTCTGATTTAAATGTCCCTGTGCTATGAAAATGGCATGAATACTAAACGTGTGTAAACATTATATCAGATAACCCACACTCTCTCCGCCACCACTACCACTACCACCATCACTGCTACCGCCATCACCGCCACCACCGCCTCCATCTCCACCGCCACCACCGTCATCACCACCGTCACCGCCACCGCCAACACAGGCCGATGCAGGCAGGAGCTGGGCCTGGCGGACATGCTGTTCATGGCGCACGGCGTCGCCTCGGGCATGGAGTACCTGGAGAGCAACAATTACATCCACTGCGACTTGGCGGCCCGCAATGTGCTCGTGGGGGACGCCGGAATCTGCAAGGTTGCCGACTTTGGGCTCGCCCACTTCCTGAAGGTGGGAGCGCTGGAGACGGGGGGTGGGGGGGGGGTGTCTCTATGGTCATCAAGCGACGACGTGACCACGGCCGCACGGTACCCGCTCATCCCTCGCATAGAGAGAGACGGAGGGCAACTCGGAGGAGGAGCCACAGATGAGCAGCGGCAGCACCAACGATTGCCCAGGCTGTGCAGTCCTCTCTATATGGAGGTGTTAACGGTCATGAACACTTGTGTGTGGTGTCTGCACATCGACAGGTGAACCACGCGTGAGCAGCACACACAGGGGCCTTGTAGCCCACCTCGCTCTCTTTTCCCACCCTACATTCCCGGCTCAATTTCGGCCACATGGTTGTGCCACGTGGTGAGTTGGCAGCCATCTCTGTCAGGCTCCAGCTACCATTACACAGCCACGCCGCGCGTGCCAGTGCGACCTGGGATCTCCAGCTGTGGACGAGGGTTGCGTTACCAGTCACCAAATGGGGGAAAAAACCCGGTGGTTTGCCGCACGTATATCGCAATTTCTGTGATTCGCAATGGATGTTTTGGGCGTTGTACGCCCTCCTCCACCTAACAGTCACATTCATAAAATTGTCACGTGATGCGCAAACGTGTGAATGTATTGCTGCTGCTGCTGCTGCTGTACTCGCTGCCGGGCGCTGCGCCCGCGACGGTGGGGCTCACGAGGGATGGAAACGCTCGCGGTCTGCACAGGGTGACTACTACCAGATCGCGGACGGCATGCACGTGCCCATCCCATGGACCGCCCCGGAAACCATAGAGCATGGCGTGTACACGCGCGAGTGCGACGTGTGGTCATTCGGCGTGGTCCTCTACGAGATATTCACCTTCGGGGCGATGCCATACTCAGGTGAGAGCGTGAGTGCTGTCATTATTGATTTTGTAAAGCGCTCTGAGATATTTTGATAAGACACACGCTTTTAAGAAATAAAGACGATGATGATGACGAGTGGGATGGTGCGTCTGTCCGCACGTCGTCACCACGGGACGTTCTCCGACGTTCTGCTCGATGCAGGGCCCAAAGCCGGACCCTATTGGGCAAAGTCCCAACACCCGCGTGTCCCCTACACCACTGCGGCACGGTGGTCACCTGGTCCCCTCCCTCTCCCTCATCAGGAGGGGGGGGGGGGACTTGGCCGCCCCACCCACGCAGGCTGGGAGCTAAATGATGAACCTATCACCCCCCGCCCACCTCACACGCTAAGGTGTCATCACCTTAATGTCTATAGCACCGCAGAGCTTGGGCAATTGTCGTGGCGCTGGCTCCCCACCAAGTGGCTGCTACCTCCCTGTTCCTCGTCTGCAGTTGCTCCTCCTGGCTCCTCTGAGTCCCCCCCCCCTCTCTCTACGAGAGCAATGGGCGGGTACCGTGTAGTGGATTTCTACCGGTAGCCATTCATTCTACACAGCGATTTGTTAATGAAATCTCTGCTGACTCTTCCAGGAGAGAGCCCCCCCCTAACCCCTGAAGTTCTGCACATCGGGCCGTAGGATGGAGGGGACGGGCGGGAGGGCGCCACACGGCACGTGCCCCCCCCCCGCCCACCACGTTGTTAACTGCCACCCGTGCGTGCGTCTCTAGGGATGACGATGCAGAACGTCCAGTACTTCGTCTGTACAGGGGGCCGGCTGGAGAAGCCGGAAGGCTGCCCAGACGCCGTGTACCGGATCATTCTCAAGTGCTGGCACGCGGAGCACAGGAAGAGGCCGTCCTTTGCAGACCTCAAGCCAGAGCTGCACAGAGTCTCACTGGCTTACCAGCGTGAAAAGGGCGGCTTTTAAACGTCGCAGAAACTGGGGGACTTTAAAGAAAGCCCTTCGAGTCCGACCAGGAACTTGCACGTGGACTATGTACTCACGAGTGGCCAGGTGGGTCGTCATGGCCGTGCGGGAGGCATTGAGCCGATGCTGCTGGGAATCGGGTTTTGGGATCACGGTGTTTGTTCTCGGCCACCCGTGCGATCGAATCGGCTTCAGTCCACATGTGGCTCGGAGGTCAGAGCGCCGGGCCGGGACGGCTCAGCTCCCGGGTTCTGATCCTGGCAGCCAGCCACTTGCATGCAGCTAAACTGGGTTCCCAAGTACAGTGAGTTGATGGTCTCAGCTCTTTGACCAAAAACTTACGTAGAGACCCGTAGACTCACACTGAGTTGCGATTAAACTAGGTCCTCAAGTATAGTGAGTTGGTCTCAGCTCCATCACTAATGATTGCACAACAACACCATCAAACATGATTAAGTTTGGTTTTTCACTCACATTTTGTCAAAAATTAGTTCTGAGATTTAAAAACATCAGTTCGGCTGTCGAGCAATGCTCGCATGTGGCAGGGAGGGTGGGAAATAATATTGTCGAATATTAAAACAATATAATAACGTTGGCTTATGTGCTATGAAGAAGGGTGATTGCCCGAAAGATCAACGATTATACATTCTTATTATGTATAACAAGCTGTAAAATGGGCTAAATGGGGATGTTCATGGCAATATTGGGGCTCTTGGTAAGGAAGTGGATCAAGCAGCAGGCACAGCCACAACCCCGGCACTCACGGCGGCATTTGGAGGACGCCACTGCCGCCCCCTGCACTACAGGGGACACGTTCTTGTCGCGAGAGACTCTCCGGCTGCGGTGGCCGATCGCGATCCACGCGTGGACGACCACAAAATATCCCGTTGGGATCTGGGGAGAATGAGCGGGGACCGTGTGGGCGGCGCAGCGTCATGAGCGGTCATTGTTCTTGTTCTTATTGTTGTGAGATATCGGGGACCGCACGGAATGACCCCTTTCAGCAGATGCGCTCCTCTCCTGCCCATCGACAGGCATGGCCACCAACTGCTGTGGGCCTGGCTGTGTATGCGAGTGACTCGATTTCACCTGCGAGTGGACATGCAGGCACGCAGCAATTCCACACATGCTCCGGCCACGAGCAGACGTCCCACGGATTGCCAACCATTCGCAGTTGCGACTCTCTCTTATCGGTTTCTCTACGGACTCGTTTGTATTGTTTCATGTATTACCATTTCAATAGTACTGTTTTGCTTGTACTGTTCCATGTATATTTATTCGATTCGCTCCCATGCGGTTGGTTAAACTAGCACAAATGTGGGTCTGTAAATGCGGTGATTTTTTCCTATAATTGTTTACTCCCGTTTGTATTATTTCTCGATTTGGCTCATTTGTATAGTCATTAATACCCAATAAGCCTACATTTAAATTAATTGTAAATAGTGTATTCTATTAGCTTCGATTGTTTTACATGTATCATGAATCGGTGTCTTATGTCATGCGTACTCATGGCACGGTAGGATATTAAACAACCTGTGAACGGAGTGAAGCTCCATGGCAGACTTCAAGTGGCAGACTGCAAGCCACAGCCGGGAGGCCACGGTGGTGGTGGTGGTGGCTACGCTGCTGCACGAGGCAGCTGTGCCCAGCGTTGTGGAGGAGGCAGCAGCAGCAGCAGCAGCAGCGAGGGTTGGTGGATCACCACACAGATCCTGTGAAACTCCTGTCCTGTGGGCGTCGAGGTGCCATACCCCCCAGGCACAGCAACAATGGGGACTCCAGCTGATCCGTCTGCGTGGAACGGAGCGTTTCCCCCTCGTGCGCTTGCTTTCCTGCCATGGTTTGCACACTGGACGATGCGGTTCAGGATGTGTGGTCCATGAGCTTATCGGCGGGAGATCTCAGCCAGGAGTCTCCTCTCACGAGGTGTTCGTGACTTCTTGTGGAAGTCCATTGCTGCCATCCGAGCACCATCAGGGTTGAACTCACTTTGTCGAAGGTTGAGCGACCTCAAACGGTGGTGCGGAAGGTTCTTGATGGCCTGGTGTATGGGTAAACGGACGTGTTCCACCACATCGCAGTGTAGGACCAATGTGTAATAACCACGGACACACAACTTCCCACTTCCTGATAATCTTGGTTAGTATTACACCACTCGCAAAACAATAAAACAACCGGCTGACTATTTAAGTGAGAATCGGTGCGTGTGTGTGAATGCTTAACACAAGAAGTCAATTAAAACACAATGACTCATTGCGGAAACTATCCTTTTTTAATCTATAATAAAACTTAAAACGTAGGCTTTCGCGACCAATATCCATAATATAAGTTATTTTGGATTGGAACACATAAATATAAATGTGTCCTTAAACCTGCCACCACCCGACAGCCAATGTAGTATTGTCTGTCACTAACAGAACGTGCCAATTCGTGACTAGTGTCAGGACGACTCTGACGCACTTGTCCTGGGAAGGATTCTTCATTCATGAGCCACGGGCTGCTCACACTCGGAGAGGCGGAGACTCCACAGCAACAGGCCCGAGTCTCCCGTGTATCTCCCTCAAATACGGTCCGAAGCCACGCCCCCATTTCCGAACCTTCTCGCCTGTTCTCGACCGCTCGCTCTACCAGCTGACTCCACTACCTCTTCTGTCACCTGGCATTACCTCCCGTGGCCACTAGTCCACTCACACCATAGTTTGACTCTACTGTCATTACCCCCCACCCGCTCTTAAAAATGTAGCCATCCCAGCTAATACTAAGAAATGTTTTAAATATCAACAATTGGGGCAGAATGACAAAACACATCCGCATCGAAGAGAACCTGCCGCGCGACTTTCGCAATGAAGAACAACAACATGACGAGTGAGTGGTGTCAGCCATCTCGCAACGAATGAACAAACACAGAAAGGAACACAACAATGGTTGGACGTGAGAAAAGATAGTCCATGAGAATATGTTTCCCCTGTTTTCTGGCAACAAAACAGGTGTGTTAAGATGTTAAAACACCAAACTGAAAACCTTTTACAAGGAAACATGTCTGCATTTACCACAATGCAAAAAACACTCTGACGATTATTATTAAGATATTCCATCTTCGTGGTTTGGAGAGCCATCAACGTAGCCGTAAACTTTTCGACCGGGTCCTTGATGCCGGTCCATCGCATGTAGCGGAGTCTGGTGGCCCCTGCGACTCGGAGGGTGGCATTCTGTGGGCGGCACAATGCGTTTTTCGGGTCGCACAGTTACTTTGGACGGCTGCCCTGGCACGTCGGACACTCCAGACCCCGTCCGTACAGGACATGCCGATGAGATGATTGGGCCGGAATGGACGATGGTTTGAGGCATGATGGGTGAACAAACCAACGGCGACGCCCCACCTGTACTCGCACGCACTGTGGCTGATTCACCTCGACAATTCAGAGCAGCCCTCGCCATGGGCGGTGCAACTTTGGCGCTATTCGCAGCGGCACCTGCGAGCAATGCAGTGTCACCCTCTCCCCGACTGCCCAAGGAAGCACGTGCTTGCGACGCCCGACATTCTCCTCGTGAGCGAATTGTGTTTTGGTGGCATTCTCCTTTGCCGCCGCACGTGCTTCCAACACCCACTGGAGCGTCACCTGTAGTGGCACGCCGACGTCCCGTCGTGTCTTGGAGGCTTTACCCAGTTGAGCCTCAATGGGGAGCTCCTGCTCCCGCCCGTACATCAGACAAACAGGGGAGAACCCCGTGGAGGCGTGTGGGGCCATCCGATAGGCCGCCAAGACCCCTGGATGCAGGTCCCAATTATGCACACCGCACCAAGTACTCATTTAAGGCTGAGTCGACCTAAGGGGAGGCCCTGAACCGGTTCAGATATTCTCCAATGGTGTTGCACGGTTGTGAGCGGGAATCGAACTTGTGTTGCCAAGGTTCATAGTGCGCTCACTATTGCACTACGAACCGCTACCGCCGTCCACAGAGCCGACTCAACAAGGATTGCCCCAAAACAATCACGTGTGCATCCAGCCTCTGCGTGAATACCACTGCTGGATGACGGCCTCATCCAAGCAAACATGTGGTGTGCTCAACTCTGTTGGTTCTACTTCGCCAGATGTATCCTTCCATATTCATATGACAGGGACAAGTCCACCCTTCATGAAACAATCCACACTTGGCCTTGACTAGGACGTGGGTGGACACGGCTTTGACTAGGACGTGGGTGGACACGGCCTTGACTAGGACGTGGGTGGACACTGCCTTGACTAGGACGTGGGTGGACACGGCTTTGACTAGGACGTGGGTGGACACGGCCTTGACTAGGACGTGGGTGGACACTGCCTTGACTAGGACGTGGGTGGACACGGCCTTGACTAGGACGTGGGTGGACACTGCCTTGACTAGGACGTGGGTGGACACTGCCTTGACTAGGATGTGGGTGGACACTGCCTTGACTAGGACGTGGGTGGACACTGCCTTGACTAGGACGTGGGTGGACACTGCCCTTGTTGACGGATGTGCGGGCCGTGCTACGGGATGTAGACTCCATTCGCAAATCTGTCCGCGAGAGAATTATGAGAGGAGGGAGATTTTGAATCGAGGCGAAGCATGAGGACGATGATGAAGAGAGAATGGCGAGGACGAGATGAGACCTCGAGCTGAGTGGCAGTGGTGGTCGCAGTGATCAATGATGGGAGCCCCAGGCTGAGCCACCCGTTAATTAAACTTCGTCAACAGAGGGGGCAGTTGGGGGTGTGGGTGTTCGTGAATCTCGGGGTCCAGTCGCCGCTTCATCATCCACGAGTCGGAGTCTCCATCCTCCTCCTCCTCCTCAACTCCATCACCTCCACGAGTCCTCGCGTCTCCTCCACCGTCGACGGACTTCCTCAGCACCGCTTCTTCGCGACGACCCCGCAAGAAGGGACCTCCTGCCTCGACCCCTCGTGGGAACTCCCTGCCGGGCCCCTGCGCCCCCGTGGGGTCCGGGATGAGGCCGCGGCTCCTCGCCACCCTCATCCTCATCCTCGCCACCCTCATCCTCATCCTCGCCGCGGTGCTCGCCCGGGCCGGTTCGTCCCGAGCGAGCGGCTCCTCTCCCCGCCTCTCCTGAATCCGTGCATCTCCGTGTCTGTGTGTGTGTGTTTGTCTAAACTCTGTGTGTGTGTGCGTCTCCGTGTACGGCTGACATCACGGTCGTTGTGGGGAGTGGTGGCACAGTCATCAGTACATGGCACAATGAACCAGTCACCGTCGTTCCATTGCAAACTGCGGCTGACCTCCGTGGCGAGTACCTCGTGCGGTGCCTTCAACTTCAGCAGCACTGCGGGAGATCAAGACCGCCGGGCGTGATTCTGGCCCCACCACCTCGTTGAGCGCTCTTGGAGCCTTAATAGGTGCTCGCCAACAGGCCTCGCCCCAACAGTCCGTGCAAGCAACATGGGGTCTCTGATGAGATTTCGATTTCACCTCAAACAGCCGCGAGCGACGGGGTCATCGTTAAACACAAATTACAATCGTCAGCATCATCAGCATCACCAGCATCATCAGCATCGAGCAGCATCACCAGTATCATCAGCATCATCAGCATCAGCAGCATCATCAGCATCACCAGCATCATCAGCATCACCAGCATCACCAGCATCATCAGCATCATCAGCATCACCAGCAGCATCACCAGCATCACCAGCATCATCAGCATCATCAGCATCACCAGCAGCATCACCAGCATCATCAGCATCACCAGCATCACCAGCATCACCAGCATCATCAGCATCACCAGCATCATCAGCATCACCAGCATCACCAGCATCATCAGCATCATCAGCATCACCAGCATCACCAGCATCATCAGCATCACCAGCATCACCAGCATCATCAGCATCACCAGCAGCATCATCAGCATCAACAGCATCATCAGCATCACCAGCATCATCAGCATCACCAGCAGCATCATCAGCATCACCAGCATCATCAGCATCACCAGCATCATCAGCATCACCAGCATCATCAGCATCATCAGCATCACCAGCATCACCAGCAGCATCATCAGCATCACCAGCATCATCAGCATCACCAGCATCACCAGCATCATCAGCATCACCAGCATCATCAGCATCATCAGCATCATCAGCAGCATCATCAGCATCACCAGCATCACCAGCAGCATCATCAGCATCACCAGCATCACCAGCATCACCAGCATCACCAGCAGCATCATCAGCATCACCAGCATCATCAGCATCATCAGCATCACCAGCATCATCAGCATCATCACCAGCATCACCAGCATCATCAGCATCACCAGCATCACCAGCATCATCAGCATCACCAACAGCATCATCAGCATCACCAGCATCATCAGCATCACCAGCATCATCAGCATCACCAGCATCACCAGCATCATCAGCATCACCAACATCACCAGCAGCATCATCAGCATCATCAGCATCACCAGCATCACCAGCATCATCAGCATCATCAGCAGCATCACCAGCATCACCAGCATCACCAGCATCATCAGCATCACCAGCATCACCAGCATCACCAGCATCACCAGCATCATCAGCATCATCAGCATCGAGCAGCACAGCCATTAACATTAAGCTGGCAGCAGCATCATCAAGCTCATCATTTTTGTCATCGTTATCGTCATCAGCTGCAGCATCTTGTCGTCATCATCAGCAGCAGCAGCTGCAACGTCACCATAATAGGTGCTCGCAAAGAGGACGTCGCCTGACGGGACGATTACCAATGGACAAGCCTGGTGTTGGAGTGGCAGCCAAAGGTAGCGCAACACATCAATGAGGACGACCACCACGGAGATGGAGCGAAAAGTAATGTGCAGTGAATAGGAAAAGGTTGATTATGATGATGATCATCATCATCTGTGGGTATGTGTGTATATATGGCCTCTAAATGAATGTTGCGTCGATGTCTCTATGTATGTCTATGGGTCTCTGTATATGTCGAATGTATATGCATCTGTCCCTACGGATCACTATGTGTCTTTATGGGTCTGTATGTGTGTCCGTGTGTCTGTGTGTCTGTGTGTATGGGTCTGTATGTGTGTCCGTGTGTGTGTATGGGTCTCTGTATGTGTCCGTGTGTGTGTATGGGTCTCTGTGTGTGTCTGTGTGTGTGTATGTGCCTCTGTGTGTGTGTATGGGTCTGTGTGTGTGTCTCTTTGTGTGTGTGTGTGTGTGTCTCTCTGTGTGTGTCCGTGTGTCTGTGTGTAGGGGAGTCGCGTGTCCCTGTGCACGCTCGCGATGTGCGCGCGTCCCGTGGAGACTCGGCGCTCCTTCCCTGCCGCCTCGGCGCCTCCTCCTCCTCCGCCGCGTCCTCCCTCTCTGTGTTCTGGGCCGTCACTCCGCTACACGAGCCGCGCTCACCGGAGCAGGTGAACGAGATGGCAGTACAAGCAAGTGTACTAATCACCATCTATTTCCATCCACACGGAAATCGTGGGTTTTCTCCGGGTGCTCCGGTATCCTCCTCCCACGTGGTGTGACGACACGACTCGTCGTTCATTGGCTGAAAACATCCTCAAATTCAACAGCGGTCCTCGGACTCAGTGTGGCTTTCCCTGGATAGATGAGTACACTATTAGAATAATAATTGTTGTTGTTGTCTCCTTAAATGAAGCTGACCGCCCCCCGCCAGGTCCTGATCTTCCATCGCGGCCGCGCGTCCGTGACCTCCGCTCGCTACGCGGGCCGCGCCGCGTTCCTCGCGCCGCGCCTCCCGGCGCCCGACGCCTCCATGGTCCTGAACGGCACTCGTGACCGCGACGCGGGCACCTACGTGTGCGTGGCGGCACGGGGGGGGCCGCTCGAGATGGCGGGGGGCGCCCTGTTCGTCGTGGCGCTCTCCGTGCTGGGTAGGGAGCCACGGGTGCATGCGGCGTGTGTGTGTGTCACTCACTGTGTGTGTCACTCACTGTGTGTGTGTCACTGTGTGTCACTCACTGTGTGTGTGTCACTGTGTGTGTCACTCACTGTGTGTGTGTCACTGTGTGTGTCACTCACTGTGTGTGTCACTGTGTGTGTCACTGTGTGTGTCACTGTGTGTCACTCACTGTGTGTGTCACTGTGTGTGTGTCACTGTGTGTGTCACTCACTGTGTGTGCGGTGGTGTAGCGGTCAGCGCGCTGCACTACGAACCTGGCGACCCAGGTTCGATTCCCGCTCACGGCAGACACCAGTGACGATTATCTGAACCGGTCCTGGGCCTCCCCTAGGTCGACTCAGCCTCAAATGAGTACCTAGTGCGGTGTGTAAACATTGCCGCTAGGGAGACAAATGCGGTCGGGCGTGGTGCTGGCCACCCACCCCCTCGTGTACCGTTCCGGCCTTCATAGGTGCTCGCTAACAGCACTTGCCCCTACAGTCTGTTAAGGCTATTTGGGGGATCTTTTTTTGTCACTCACTGTGTGTGTCACTGTGTGTGTCACTGTGAGCTCCTCCGGCAGGCAAGGCGTCATTGGCTGGGCCATGTAGCCCGCATGCCCAGCCACCGCATGCCTAAACAGGTTTTGTTTGGCCCGATCGAGGAGGCTAAACGGGTGCGGCACGGGCTAGAGAAGAGATGGAGTGATGTGGTACAGGAGGACGTGGAGCTGAGTTGACTTGCCGATGACTGGTACCAGCAGTGTCAAGATCGGCCTCTGTGGAGGAGGCTCGTGAAGGACGCTACTGGGCAGTTGGAGGCAGTCGCCCTCCAACAACAACGGAGGGCGGAGGAGCGACGCTCACAACAACGAGCGGAGCGTCGGGTGGCTAAAGCACAGCAAGTTGGCACAGTAGGGGGCACAATTGGTGCATCAGCCAGTCATCTCGGTCATCTCAGTCAGTCGACCCGTGGCACCTGCTGGGTCTGCCCCGTGACCTCCTGCCAGCGGGCGTTCGACACTTCACGTGGCCTCAAGGTGCACATGGCCTGGCACAAGTGGCGAATGGCGGTTGTTGTGGTTAGCGCTGCGCTACGAACCACGGCCACCCGACTTTGATTCCCGCTCATGGCCGCCTACACCGGTGACGATTATCTGAACCGGTCCTGGGCCTCCCCTAGGTCGACTCAGCCTCAAATCAGTACCTGGTGCGATGTGTAAACATCGCAGCTATGAAGACAAAGATGGACTGGCGTGGTGTTGGCCGTGTGTGTCATGTCGGCCTTCAGAGCGCTTCTCGCTAACATCACTTTCCCCGACAGCCTGCGTGGGCTACCCGGGGGTCGTGTGCACTATGTAGTGTCTCGTGTGTGAGTGCCATTGTGCAGACAGCGGGCGACTCGCAGTGGGAGGAGGAAGGGTCGAGAGTTGTGGTCCTGGTTGTAGGTTCACTCGGTCCGTCGCCCCTCCGGATTCGAAGACAATGAGCGCCGCTATTTGGGGAAATGAAGAGCGATTTGTTCTGGGCTGATCCCCGCCATGTGAATGTGGAATGGTTATCCCTGGCGCTTCAGGGCTATACACAGGAGATGCGGACCAATGAATGCTGCGACGCTCATGTTTATTTTGAGTGCGGAGCACAGGTGGTGCATCTGCCAGTCATCTGAGTCAACCCATAGCACCTGAGTCTGTCCCGTGACCTCCTGCTAGCAGCGAGCCTTCCACAGTTGACGTGACGGCCTGAAGGTGCCCGGCACAAGCGCTGCGGCGAACATCGCCGTCGAATATCTGGACCGCTCCCGGGCTCCACGAGATGTCAACTTATCCTCAAATGACCCCTACCTGGTGCGGTGCGCAAACATAAGCGCTGTGGGAGACAAAGACGGCCGGGCGTGGTTTTGGCCACACCGCCCTGTCATGTGCCACACCGTCCTTAATAAACGCTCAATAAGAGCGCTTGTCCCAACAGCCTGTTTGTTTACATGGGGCACCTTTGTCTGTGTGCAGTGCCGCCGTCCCAGCCGGAGTGCCGCGTGCTGGTGCCCCCCGCGCTGGGGGAGGGCAACGCGACCCTGAGCTGCAGCTCGGACGAGGGGACCCCCACGCCCACTTACTCATGGGGGGGGCCCGGGCCCGCGGGGGGTTTGCCCCCCCTGGCATCGACCTGTGAGTCCTCCACATCACGGGCACGGTGATGGGAGCTTGGGGTGACGAGGAGGATGGCGATGATGGCGATGATTGTGGTTAAACTCGCCTTTTGCTCGTCCAAGGACGAGTGTATTGCAGTAAATATGAGACTTGCAAGCGAAAAGCACAGACCGCGACGTGATATTCATCGCATCGATTCGTGTGCAGTTAGTAAGGCCGCGGTGACACAGACCTATTTCATGTAAAGGTTATAATGATGGGGGCTTGGGGTGCTGGCGATGATGGTGATGATGGCGATGATGGTGATGATGGCGATGATGATGGGCGCATGGTGATGATGGCGATGATGGTGATGATGGTGATGATGGCGATGATGATGGCGATGATGGTGATGATGGCGATGATGATGGGCGCATGGTGATGATGGCGATGATGGTGATGATGGCGATGATGGTGATGATGGCGATGATGATGGGCGCATGGTGATGATGGCGATGATGGTGATGATGGTGATGATGGCGATGATGATGGCGATGATGGTGATGATGGCGATGATGATGGGCGCATGGTGATGATGGCGATGATGGTGATGATGGCGATGATGGTGATGATGGCGATGATGATGGGCGCATGGTGATGATGGCGATGATGGTGATGATGGCGATGATGGCGATGATGATGGGCGCATGGTGATGATGGCGATGATGGTGATGATGGTGATGATGGCGATGATGGTGATGATGGCGATGATGGTGATGATGGCGATGATGATGGGCGCATGGTGATGATGGCGATGATGGTGATGATGGTGATGATGGCGATGATGATGGCGATGATGGTGATGATGGCGATGATGATGGGCGCATGGTGATGATGGCGATGATGGTGATGATGGCGATGATGGTGATGATGGCGATGATGATGGGCGCATGGTGATGATTCATCATCGGCCATAGTCAATCCACTGCTGGATGAAGGCCTCCCCGAGCGGCCACCACTTCCTCATAATCGTGCAAAGTAACGATCCAGCCGGCACCTGCTGCACCTGCTGCACCTGCTGCACCTGCTGCACCTGCTGCACCTGCTGCACCTGCTGCACCTGCTGCACCTGCTGCACCTGCTGCACCTGCTGCACCTGCTGCACCTGCTGCACCTGCTGCACCTGCTGCACATGAGCTGATCTCATCGCTCCATCTACTCGATGACCATCCACTCGTAACGCATTCCATTCCTTATTATTGCTGCTGCTGCTGCTGCCCACTGACCTGCGTCTGCTCTCCAGGCCGCGTGCTCCTCTTGCTGACCCTCAGAGGCATTCCGAGCGCGCCGTCTCTGTCCCTGCATCTTTGCGCACTTTTCAGTTTTTGTTCCGCAAGGTTCGTGATGACCACGTGCCTCTCCCCTTCCCCTCCTCCCAACCTCATTCCACTCTCCCACTCCCCTCTCGCTTCCTCCATCTCCTCCCCTTCATAACACGAACGCCTTCTTCTCCATCCCCCCCCCTTACCAACCCTCCCCTCCTCCCCATCGTGACCCCGTAGCCCCCACTGGGGCCACGCTGTGGCTGGGGAACGTGAGCGCTCGCCACGGAGGCTCCTACTCCTGCACCGCGTCCAACGCCATCGGCGCGGCCACGTGCTCACTCCGCCTCCACGTGAGCCGCTCCCCTGCAGCGCGGCGCCAGCGCGGCGGCGGTGAGGAGGAGGAGCGGGGGGGGCAAGGAGCGGGGAGGGGCGCGAGGAGCGGGGGGGGCAAGGAGCGGGGGGGCGCGAGGAGCGGGGGGGGCGAGGAGCGGGGGGGGGCGCGAGGAGCGGGGGGGCGAGGAGCGGGGGGGCGCGTGGTGCGACTGCAAAGCAACTCCCTAAACCCACAGCGACTGGGTCTCTGCCATGTGGCCTCCTGCCAGCAGCGAGCCTTCCACACTCGTGATCATTGGTGTTGGTAGTGATGCCGTGGTGGTGGTAGTCGTGGTGATCGGTGGTGGTGATGTATGTTGAACTTCTTTCACACCGCACGTAATCGGAGGAGCGGGAATTGTTGACTGTACGTCAGCTCCTCCTCGCCCGACGCGTGTTCACACGACGCCTTTCACGATACCGCGATTCTTCAAGGCGTGGTGGGACTCCTTTTACGATGTTGATGATTGTCGTGGTGGTGATCGCGACGCTGCTCACGATGAAGACCTTCGTGGGGTGGTGATGTTGATGATGATGATGATTGATGATGGTAATATTCTACAGTGCACCCAAGCCGCCCCTTGGTGGTGGCCGCGGTGGTGGGGGGCGTGGGGAGCCTCCTCCTCCTTCTCTTCCTCCTCCTCGCCCTGAGACTTCACGTCCACCGGCGACGAGTCCGGGAGGACGACTGCCCCAACGACATCCTGTGAGCGTCCACCTCTACACTCAAGATTTCACCTCTACACCCCATCTCTAGATGTAACCCATAACGTCCACCTTTGTCTCCCGTGCCCCAGGGAGGACGACTCCCCTCCCACCTCGTCTCCCTTCTTCCGCCTCCTCTCCCGCCCAGCTGCTCGCGAGGAGACCCCAATTGCAGCCGATACATCGACGCCTCTGGCACCTCGCCACCACCACCACCATCATCATCGCCATCACCAGCGCACCCCCCTACGTCATGCCCGCCGTCACCACCACCACCACCACCGTCGTGCCCCCATCTCCGCGCGGGTCCCCGGAGACCGGCTTGAGGCGGAGACGCTCAACGTGGGGCCAACCGTGGGTCCCCCAGGGCTCAGCTCCCTTACTCCCTGCGGCTTCGAGTGAAGTCCTCAGCTCCTGGTTCCACCAGCTCCTGGTTCCACCAACTCCTGGTTCTACCAGCTCCTGGTTCCACCAGCTCCTGGTTCCACCAGCTCCTGGTTCCACCAGCTCCTCGTTCCACCAGCTCCTGGTTCCACCAGCTCCTGGTTCTACCAGCTCCTGGTTCCACCAGCTCCTGGTTCCACCAGCTCCTGGTTCCACCAGCTCCTGGTTCCACCAGCTCCTGGTTCCACCAGCTCCTGGTTCTACCAACTCCTGGTTCCACCAGCTCCTGGTTCCACAAACTCCTGGTTCCACCAGCTCCTGGTTCCACCAGCTCCTGGTTCCACCAGCTCCTGGTTCCACCAGCTCCTGGTTCCACCTGCTCCTGGTTCCACCAACTCCTGGTTCTACCAGGTGCCCTCATCTCCATCGCAATTCAAACGTCAAAGCGATCTCCTGCATTGAGGGATTCGTGCGCATCTTCCGTTTACAGTCCTGCACAGCCAGTGATATAAATTCCACATTCCTATATGACAGGGGGTAAGTATCCGTGTACTCTTCGGGTAACCACTGTTGACATTCCCTCAAAGTGGAACTCATTCTATCGACTCTCGCTAACTGCCAGCCTCCTTTCCATGCTCCCAGCGACAAAGCGATCCAGCGCAGCTTTTGACACGCATGTTCATGTTCATATTTGCGCTTATCTGGCGCTTACTTGAGTGATTCAGACACTCGAAGCGCCTTACCTCCCACCTCATTGCAGTCCTTCAAAGGGGACCCCCCCCCGGTGGTGGCTGCCTCTGTGTGGCACCAGCTGACTGAGCGTCGGCCTGCACGAGCGCATCAGTCAGCCGCTAGCGGGCGACGTTGCAGCGTGGCTCTTCCAAATTGATTAACTTGCCGAGTAAAAATTCCAACAGTCGCCAAATTTGGACCGTGACACCCGGCCTCCTCTTCTTCGAATGACATCACAGGAGCTTGAACGTCCACTGTGAGTGAGGCAGACTTCCCGCAGTATTAACTCGGGCGCCCTGCCAGAGTCGAACCGCGAAGCTCTGCAACAACGAGCGCATGAGCGCGTTACTGCTCCGCGTGTCCATTATATGACCGTATTCTCCCGATTATGCTGTGTCATGCACCTCAGTAAAGTAGTAATATTGTCAGTGTGAGCGTGTGTGTGTGCCTGGGTATTTTGTCATCAATCATCTGGTACAGATACAATGATCGATGCCCGGGTGCGGTAAATGGGTCGCTTCTTATTGGTCAACCATGTTCTGTATGCTCTGATCTGGTTATTCATTCTCACTGCCTGGGTAGGTTATGTCATCAAAACTCCCCTCCCTCCACTCCCCAGGAGTGATTGGGCAGTTGTGTGTGCTTATGCCGAGCTGCGGATTGGCAGCGGAGGTCTCGCTCCGAATCCGTCGAGCGCTATTATCTCTTCATCGGCTGTGTAATGCTGTGTGAGAGCTACCTGGTCCGTCGCTCCACATGAGGCTCTGGGGTCTTGTCGGCCACAGTCATACCCCCCCCCCCCGTCTCTTTTCCTTGTGCTAACGCAACCTGGACACCTTCACAGAAACACCTGCGCTGGCTTTAAACATTCAAGCTGGCCTGCCTATTATTCATCGGGGGTTTAACCAAGCTCAGATCCATCCTCGTGTCGTGGTCTAGTTTCGACAGTACTGGCAGAGCTGCGTGCGTGGCTGTTAATAGGTGTGTAACTGTGGGGAGCGGTGGCACAGTGGTTAGCGCGCTGTACTATAAAACACGGCGACTCGAGTTCGATTCCTGCTCATGACCAACATTTATTGATGATTGACTTAAAGCTTTCGTGACTGCAGGAATTCATACGTGATTTGAAGCTTTCGTCACTGCAGGAATTACTCTGAGGTTCTTTCGGTAAAGTCACGTAGAAAGAAAATCAATGAAATAAAATACGACGTTTCACTTGCAACACAAGCAGTCGTCATCAGGTAGAACTAAGGTTTAGATGGAGAACAAAACACAGACAGACACACAAGTAGAGAGAGACAACACAGAGACACACAGAGAGAGACACACAACATAGGCACACAGAGACCCAATGCCTCTGTGTCGTGGCCTGAAATAGAGAGAGAGGTGGGTCTGCTGGAGCAGAGAAATTAGCATGGCAATGAGAGAGCTGGGTGGAAATCCACCCCGCGGCGTCAGGGGGAGAGAAAGGCCCAGCAAGCCTGGTAAAAACATATTTTTTTAAGAATTCATATTCTAATAAAAATAAAAAATAGATATTTTTTTTTATCAATTTTCTATCTACGTGACTCAAAAGGTGTCAGTTTTGTTGCCAGATAGAAGGGTAAATAACCAATTATCATATTTTTACTGGCAAATGAGGTTCCCATAGTGTAGATGCTTGCCCCAAGCTCTCATACTCTGATGGTGCATTGTCTTTGAGTTGTGCGCCTTTTGGCGTCATCTGGTCCAACCCATGTGAGACTTGGCTCTAAAGAAAGCTGTCTCGGGTGTGGACCAATCAACTTCAAGGACAGTGCACATTATCAGAGTTATGTCTTTTGTTTGTATTATGACTGCAGGTATTGCGGTCTATGCAAACATGACTCCTTGTAAAAAGGTGTCAGTTTTGTTGCCAGATAGAAGGGTAAAAAACCAATTATCATATTTTTACTGGCAAATGAGGTTCCCATAGTGTGGAGAAGTCGTTGCACGCCAGCCTACCGCGCAGACCCGGCACGTCTAATTGCAGGGTTGGCTACGTACGGTACGAACGAGGTTCAACATACATACAGTTGTTTGGAGATATCATGGCGCTGCAGCCCTCGTTCATCTTCGCAGCTGCTGTTGCCATTCTGACGTCTTCTTCCGCCCGCTTTGCTGTGGGCTGGGCACGCTCGTTGCGATGGCGGCCCACGTTCTGCATGGCACAGCAATGCACGAGGGCGTTTGTGGCTTTTCAAGAGGAACAGCGCTGACATCGCTACCACATCCTGGCGCTGCTGCTGCTGCTCCGTGACTGCTTTGTTAATGATCAGACTGACGCTGCTCGTCTCGCAGCTCCACGCTCACTGAAGGGCAATTCTCGGTTCGCCACCTGTGGACCCGCCGGGCAGCAGTCGGGCTGTGCCCCCAGTGAAGGACGCTGCTCATGGGCAGCGGGAGGCAGTCGCCCTCCAACAACAACGGAGGGCGGAGGAGCGACGCTCACAACAACGAGCGGAGCGCCGGGCGGCTAAAATCCAGCAAGTTGGCACAGTAGAGGGTACAGGTGGTGCATCAGCTACTCATCTCGGTCATCTCAGTCAGTCGACCCGTGGCACCTGGGTCTGCCCCGTGACCTCCTGCCAGCGGGCGTTCGACACTTCACGTGGCCTCAAAGTGCACCTGGCCTGGCACAGCGGCGAATGGCGGGTATTGGTCTCTATGTGTGTATCTCTCTGTGTATATCTCTATGTGTGTATGTCTCTCTGTGTATATCTGTTTGTGTGTATCTCTCTGTGTATATCTCTATGTATGTCTCTATGTGTATATCTGTTTGTGTGTGTATGTCTCTATGTGTATATCTCTGTGTATCTCTCTGTGTATGTTTCTCTGTGTATATCTCTGTGTGTGTATCTCTCTGTGTATATCTCTATGTATGTCTCTATGTGTATATCTGTTTGTGTGTGTGTGCAATCCTAGCCGCGTGTTGTTTTCTTCTCTTATCGCTGCGCACACGCGTGGGAGCCCGCGCCCCGCGGTCTCCGCTTCTGCACCGCGACCTCTTCACTTCCCCCAGCTCACTCAACGATCCGGAATCCAGAATGTATGACTCCAGGATCCGGGTTTTAGGCTTTCTCGCTCCAGGAACTCGGAAAACATGAACCTGGATCTCTGGTTCCTGGCTCCAGCATCTGTGGACCCAGACTCCGGGATCGAGGTATCACGTATCCATAACTCGTGGCTTAGGGATTCAGAAATCCAAGATCCAGGAATCTATTACTCCAGGAACCCAGGATTTTAGCTTACATTGATGCCGGAACCAGGTCTAACATCTACAACCACAACAACCAGCCATATATCAACTAACACCACCATCATAAAAAAAACCAAAGCAATCCAACAACTACCATCACAGCTCTAACTACAATCCTACAACCAAAACTACCTCATCAGCAATCACCACCATCACAGGAAACTGAAAAAGCAACGGCAACAACCATCACAACAACCAAGTCAACAACCATCACAACAACCATCACAACAACAACAAAACTACCAATAACTGCCACCACAATATGACAACGTGCCAAAACAACCACCACCACAACAAGAACAACAACTGCATCACCACCACCACCACCACCCCACCCCAGCAACAACCACCACCGCCACTACCACAGCAACAACACAAATGACACCAGCGGCAGCAGCAGCAGCGGCCGCCGCGGGAGGGAAGAGCGGCCCCGAGACGGGAGCTTCGGGTCCCCTCGCTCCACATTTCCTGCAAACTCCCCCCCACCCCCACCACGCTCTCCCTCCTCCCTCCCCGAGTTCCCACTGCTGCTGCTTGCTGCTGTTGTTGATTCACTGGGGGTGAGCGCTGTTCATCGGTCCGCGCGCAACGGGGGAGAGAGGGCGCCAAGAGGAGAGAGGGTGAGCGGTGGGGTGAGTGTTTGGTGGGGTGAGTGGTGGGGTGAGTGTTTGGGTGAGTGGTGGGGTGAGTTTGGGTGAGTGGTGGGGTGAGTGTTTGGGTGGGCGGTGGGGTGGGTGTTTGGTGGGGTGAGTGGTGGGGTGAGTGGTGGGGTGAGTGTTTGGGTGAGTGGTGGGGTGAGTGTTTGGTGAGTGTTTGGGTGAGTGAATAAGCGGTGGGGTGAGTGAATAAGCGGCAGAGTGAGTGGTGTATTGAGTGATTGAGTGAAGAGGGCGAACGAGTGAATGATGGGGAAAGTGAGTGGTGGGTGAGTGAGTTTCGAAATGAGTGGTGGCATCGGTGAATGGTAGAAGGAGTTGTGCGGTGAGCGGTGGCTAAAGTGAGCGTGAGCAAAAGGGTGGGTAGACTCACCCCACCGCTTTTGGGGTGTGTGGTGGTGGGGGGAATGGGTGAGTGAGTGAATTGGTGAGCGAGCTTTTGAGTATGGTGGTGAGCTGATTGTGATGAGTGGTGGTGAGCTGATTGTGATGAGTGGTGGTGAGTTGATTGTGATGAGTGGTGGTGAGCTGATTGTGATGAGTGGTGGTGCTGGAGAGAGCGATTGAGCGAGTGATTGACTCAACTGTCTGCAGTTCTATTGGCCGCTAAGGGGGGGTCCCTCTCCCTCTCGTGGTCTCGCCCGGCAGATGAAATTGGCTCTTGCTGGGAACTGGATTCCAACTCGCAGCGTCGACATGAGCGGCTCCCGAGGCGAGCAGCCCCCTGCCCACGCACAGGTGCGCTAATGTGTGTGTGTCTGTGTGTCTGTGTGTGTCTGTGTGTGTGTGTGTGTCTGTGTGTGTGTCTGTGTGTGTGTGTCTGTGTGTGTCTGTGTGTGTGTCTGTCTGTCTGTGTGTCTGTGTGTGTCTGAGTGTGTCTGTATGTCTGTCTGTCTGCGTGTGTGTGTCTGTCTGTGTGTCTGTCTGTGTGTGTGTCTGTGTGTGTCTGTCTGTCTGTGTGGCTGTGTGTATGTCTGTGTGTCTGTGTGTGTGTGTCTGTGTGTGTGTCTGTCTGTGTGTCTGTCTGTGTGTCTGTCTGTATGTGTGTCTGTGTGTCTGTCTGTGTGTCTGTGTGTCTGTGTGTCTCTCTGTGTGTCTGTCTGTGTGTCTGTCTGTGTATCTGTGTGTGTGTGTCTGTCTGTCTGTCTGTGTGTCTGTCTGTGTGTGTGTCTGTCTGTGTGTCTGTGTGTATGTCTGTGTGTGTCCGTGTGTGTGTGTGTCTGTGTGTGTCTGTCCGTCTGTGGGTCTGTGTATCTGTTTGTGTGTCTGTGTGTGTGTCTGTGTGTGTCTGTGTGTCTGTCTGTGTGTCTGTCTGTGTGTCCCTCGATGTTGTGGGGAGCGGTGGTGTAGCGGTTCTCCCGAGTCCTGGGCCTCCCCGAGGTCGACTCATCCTCAAATGAGTACCTGGTGTGGTGTGTAAACATCGTCATTTAGAGAGACAAAGGCGGCAGTGCGTGCTTCTGGCCACCCACCCCCTCGTGTGCCGTACCGGCTTTCATAGGTGCTCGCTAACAGCACTTGCCCCTACGGTCTGTTAAGGCTATACGGGGGGTATTTGTCTTTGTGTGCGTGTCGATTCGAATCGTCGGACAGGCTGCGAAGTGACTCCGCGAGGAGCCCAGGTGGCTCTCCCCGCGGACTGATCTGTCCCGTGAACTCGTGGCAGCAGCAAGCCCTTCTCACCTCACGTGACGGCCTCTCAGTGCACCTAGCTTGGCACAGGCGCTGTGTGTGCGAGCCGCAGATAAGAACCGAGACCCAAACTCAGACGCGTTGCGTTTTGCTCAGAGGAAGTTGGAGCGCGTAACGAGATCAGCGAAGAGATTGGGATTCATGAGTCATGGTGGGAGGAGGAGGAGGGATGGGAGGAGGAGAGGGGATGGGAGGAGGAGGGGGGATGGGAGGAGGAGGGGGGATGGGAGGAGGAGGAGGGATGGGAGGAGGAGGGGGGATGGGCGGGCCCAACACACAATGCCATCCCGACTCAGCCCACGGAACACGCGAGTGACCACGAGTGGCACACGACGCCGCCACCACCACACAGAGAGGGCTTCACTGGGACGGGGGACAGAGCGACACGGGCCTCCATCTCATTCTTCTCCCCTCATCACTCAACTCTCCCCTCGACCGCCACTCCTCACACCGCCACCACCACCTCACCCCGCCCTGGTCAACACCGTGGGTGTTGTCACCGTGGAACGCCGCTCGCCGGCGTCGCGGTCCAAGCCCCAGAAGATCGACAGAAGGACTCCTGAGGTCACTTCAACAGAGTCGTCCTGTCTTCCACCCCCCCTCCTCCTCCTCCTGCGGCGTTTGTGATTGAGAGCGGCCGCCCAGAGCGTGCGGTCTGGAGCGCTGGGTGACGTGGTGGACGTTGGGACTCGTGAATGGGTGAACAAGGCGGGGGCCTCTCTCTCGACACGCTCGTGGAGAGGACGTCATGGGCCCTGGGCGCAGTGTCCCCACGTGACCCTCACATCGCGAATGTGTCCCCGTCTCTGAGCTGCGACTCGACCAGACTGAATGGAACGTGGCGGAGTGTTCACATCGAGCGTCTCAAGGGGCGCTGCTCTGTCCTCCCTCCGTCAGTTCTTCTCATCGCCCTCCTCTCCCATTCCCGTCATGTGCCCCCTGTCTGATCCCGCAGGACACCCCTGACCTCAAGGTGACCTCTCCCCTGCGCACTCGACCCAAACCTCCCTCCAGCTTCATCGGGAAGCTCCAGGTGAGTGGCTCTGGCTTCGGTCGACGTTCCCAATCCCGTAATCCGTCGTTTTCTGCTCCCATTTTGGGATAAACAAAGCCACGCTCCGACGCCGACACCTCAGCTCGACCGAGCTTCGAGGGAGCTCGTCTGTTCCGCGTTAACCCCGCGACCTCGACTGCGTGGAGTGCCGCTGCAGAGAGGGCCACGCGGCCCAGGAGCCCAGCACGCCGTGACCCCCACCCCGCCCAGCTCGCTTGGACCGCTTGGCCGGTTCATACTTTGTCGTTATTTCCCCAATTTCATCCCACGGGACGATGAATCCAGTCGGGAGTCTCGCGGAGAAGGGAAAACCCTCCGTGTTCGAGAGCGGCCCACGGAAGCGGATATCGCAGAGCTTCTGCTGAGATCTCGAGCCCACACCCAGTCGAGCGCAGCGCTCTGGCTACTGCTCTGCCCATGAGAGGAGGGTTCGTTACGTGATGGTGTGACTGATATTTTCAATCTCAGACCGAGAATTTTTAACAAATTAAGTGCAGAACTAACTTCAAAGTTTCGTTCATGCAGTCATTGGTGACTGGGCTGAGAACATCATTTCACTACACTGAAGAACCCGGTTTAAGAAAGTTCAGTCTGTGTTAGTCTATGGATCTCATTGTGAGTCTATGGCTCTCTGTGTGAGTCTATGGGTCTCTGTGCGAGTCTATGGGTCTCTGTGCGAGTCTATGGGTGCGAGTCTAGGGTCTCTGTTTGTGTCTATGGGACTCTATGCGAGTCTTTGGGTCTCTGTGTGAGTCTATGGGTGTCTGTGTGAGTGTATGGGTCTCTGTGTGAGTCTTTGGGTCTCTGTGTGAGTCTATGGGTGTCTGTGTGAGTGTATGGGTTTTTGTGTGAGTCTATGGATCTCTGTGTGAGTGTATGGGTCTCTATGTGAGTCTATAGGTCTCTGTGTGAGTTTGTGGTTCTCTGTTTGAGTCTATGTGTCTCTGTGCGAGTCTATGGGTGTCTGTGTGAGTCTATGGGTCTCTGTGCGAGTCTATGGGTTTCTGTGTGAATGTATGGGTTTCTGTGTGAGTATTTGGGTCTCTGTGTGAGTCTTTGGGTCTCTGTGTGAGTGTATGGGTCTCTGTGTGAGTCTATGGGTCTCTGTGTGAGTCTATGGGTCTCTGTTTGAGTCAATCGAACTCTGCGTGAGTCTATGAGACCCCGGTGTAATGACGGTAGTTGGGGCTGGAATCTCGGATCCCAGCGGTGCGGGCTCCACAGGCTGACCTCTGAGCCACTCGGACACCTACACGCCGGCTCAGCTGTAAGTGGTCATGGGGATGTGGCATCAGTCATGTGGCCCTAACCCTAACACTCTGCCCCCCCCTCCCCCCAGGCAAGCCTGGTGCTCCCCCCCTCGGCGCTCTCCCCACCCTCCTGCAACCCCGCGGTGAAGCGGTGGTCGGCCCCCGCGGGCTCCACCACTCAACTCTCCCCACTCGCCCCCCTCTCCCCCTCCGCGTCCCTCTCCCCCTGCTCCCCCGTGCGCCGTTTCCACCTGGGGACACGGCCCCTCTCTCCTCGGCCGGGTCCCGAGGCCCCAGCGGGCCCCGAGGTCCCAACAGGCACAGAGAGTCTCGGGCCCGAGACGGCAGGTCGAGAGACACTGCCCAGTCTCAACAAGGTCAGTGACGGCCTGCGCCTCCCCCTTGCGTCCTCTCTAGCTTCCTCTCTCCCTGGGTGGGTGGTGGGGGGTGGTGGTTTGGTGGTGGTGGGTGGGTGCTGAGTAAGTGCTTTGGGTGGTAGCTGGGTGGGTGGTGGTGGTGGTGGTGGTGAACCCAGCCGTGCAAGGGCGGGTGGTTACACTCAATTAAAATCAACACACTTGCTGTACTGCCATGCCCCGGCAAAGCAGGAGATGACGACCGCGACACACGTCCAATGTAAGAGTGGCAGTGCCGCCCGGTCGTGTTCACACGCCATCGAAGCTGCTCGCGGCTTCACACCTGCAATGCACATGACTCCCTGCACGGTATTCACAACGTAGTTGTTGTCCTCTGGAAAGACTCGACCCCCGCCATATGAACGTGGGATTCCCACCGCTGGCCCAGAGGTGTACGCCGGATCGAGCGCCAGTGCCCGATGCTCGTTGTTGAGACACTGGCGCTGCTCAGGAAATTGCTCCGAGCCAAACCTGGCGCTGGGGGGGAAATTTACTCTACAACCCCAAACGTCATCGGGAGCAGCTTGCGAATCCCACTGGGCACTGCTCCCCACATCGCCACTGGGAGCCAGCGTTCACCCGCACCCAGGTGCAGGGTTAATATCCCTCACCTCCCCCCCTCCCTCTCTTTTTTTACGATCAGAGGAAATAAGAAGATGCTCGGTGTAGTCGGCACTTTGCTTCGTTCATCATTTCGGTTTTTTTGTAATGCTTTGCTTCATGTAACCCCCCCCTTTTTTAATGAAAGATTTAACAAAAGATGTCTCGCTCTGCTCTCTTCCTCCCAGGGTCGCCCACGCCACTCCGGTAAGCGGCGTCTCCCCAGCCGCTCCTCGCTGAAGGCGGCGGCGACGTCGGTGGCAGTGGAAGTGGCGATGAGAAGCAATGGGGGCGAGAGCCGGGGTCAGGGGGACGATGCAGAGAAGAAGGAGGAGCAGGAGGAGCAAGCGGATGACGAGGAGAACGAGGAGGGGGAGCGGAGTAGCCCTGGTCTCCGCGAGGGTGCGGAGCAGACGAGCGAAGAAACTGCAACTGGGGTTGAGTGCGACGGCGGTGCAGGAGGTGAAGGAGGTGGGGATGAGGAAGAAAAAGTGGGAGAGGAAGCAGGAGACACAGGGAAAATGGGGCCTGGGGTGGCAACCTCTGGGAATGAAGAGGTGGAAGAGGAGGAGGAAGACGAGGTGTTTGTGTTGGAAGAGTGAGATGCAGGTTCATTGCTTTTGTGAACACTTTGTCAGTTCATGGGTGTCTATGCAACTCTGTGTCGCATTGTGCATTTGTGGGACTCCACATAAGCGTATGGGTCTCCACGTGGGTCTATGGGTTTCTGTATAAGTCTATTGGTCTCTATATAAGTCTATGGGTCTCTGTGTGAGTCTATGGGTCTCTGTGTGAGTCTATGGGTCTCTATGTAAGTCTATGGGTCTCTATATAAGTCTATGGGTCTCTGTGTGAGTCTATGGGTCTCTATGTAAGTCTATGGGTCTCTGTATAAGTCTATGGGTCTCTGTGTGAGTCTATGGGTCTCTGTGTGAGTCTATTGGTCTCTGTATAAGTTTATGGGTCTCTGTATAAGTCTATGGGTCTTTGTATAAGTCTATGGGTCTCTGTGTGAGTCTATGGGTCTTTATGTAAGTCTATGGGTCTCTGTATAAGTCTATGGGTCTTTGTATAAGTCTATGGGTCTCTGTGTGAGTCTATGGGTCTCTGTGTGAGTCTATGGGTCTCTATGTAAGTCTATGGGTCTCTGTATAAGTCTATGGGTCTCTGTGTGAGTCTATGGGTCTCTATGTAAGTCTATGGGTCTCTGTATAAGTCTATGGGTCTCTGTGTGAGTCTATGGGTCTCTATGTAAGTCTATGGGTCTCTGTATAAGTCTATGGGTCTCTGTGTGAGTCTATGGGTCTCTGTGTGAGTCTATGGGTCTCTGTGTGAGTCTATGGGTCTCTGTGTGAGTCTATGGGTCTCTGTGTGAGTCTATGGGTCTCTGTATAAGTCTATGGGTCTCTGTGTGAGTCTATGGGTCTCTATGTAAGTCTATGGGTCTCTGTATAAGTCTATGGGTCTCTGTGTGAGTCTATGGGTCTCTGTGTGAGTCTATGGGTCTCTATGTAAGTCTATGGGTCTTTGTATACGTCTATGGGTCTCTGTGTGAGTCTATGGGTCTCTGTGTGAGTCTATGGGTCTCTGTGTGAGTCTATGGGCCTCTGTGTGAGTCTATGGGTCTCTGTTTGAGTCTATGGGCCTCTGTGTGAGTCTATGGGCCTCTGTGTGAGTATATGGGTCTCTGTGTGAGTCTATGGGCCTCTGTGTGAGTCTATGGGTCTCTGTGTGAGTCTTTGTTAACTCGGCTGAGACCATCAACTCACTGCACTTGCGGTCTCATCACAGGCAGCTCCCCGGATCGCACCGCGCGATCTCCTTGGAGACAACCGGTCAGCCCTTGCCTGCCTCGTCTGCTCGTCCGTCTCGTTTGCAGTGTCTGCACGATCTGTGTCGTGTGCCTTCACTCGGGTTGTACATTGTTGTGATTTGCATCGGAGGCAATCGGGTTCCCGTGCTCGCGATCGGACCGTGCCAGACGCGACGTCCCTGATGATCTCAGCTCTGACCCGCTAATAAACTTGACTCCCATCCTTTCCTCGTAAGCGCCCGCCTCCTTCCCTCTCGGCTCCCTGCGTTTACCAAGCAACGCATTGCTTGCTCTGACTCCGTAATAATAATAATAATGAATAATAAACTTACTTTTATATCCAGGATGTTATTTCTTATATATCCAGGAGAGCCACACGGAGTCCGAGGACTGATTTCAGCAGGGGTCTGCTGCTGCTGTATTTGTCTTTTTATTTTAAGATGTTTTCAGCAAATGATGGGTTGTGTTTATTAACAGATGGGCGGTGAGTTCACTTGCTGCAACGCCTTCTCGTGGCAGAGTCAGGTGATGGCTCATTCTCGACGCCCACGGGAAGGGAGTTTCACGACATCTGTGCGATTCACGAACTCTCGCCTCCAGTGCTATGGGGGGGAGGTGGGGGATGGGGGGAGGTGGGGGAAGGGGGGAGAGGTGGGGGAAGGGGTGCGGAAGGGGGGGGAAGGGGTGGGGAAGGGGTGGGAAAGGGGGAGAGGTGGGGGGGAAGGGGGGGAGAGGTGGGGAGGAAGGGGGGGAGAGGTGGGGGGGAAGGGGGGGAAGAGGTGGGGGGGAAGGGGGGAGAGGTGGGGGGAAGGGGGAGGAGAGGTGGGGGGAGGGGTGGGGGGAGGAGTGGGGGGAGAGGTGGGGGAAGGGGTGGGGAAGGGGGGAGGAAGGGGTGGGGAAGGGGGGGAAAGGGGGGGGGTGAGGTGGGGGGGAAGGGGGGGAGAGGTGGGGGGGAAGAAGTGGGGGGGAAGGGGGGAAGAGGTGGGGGGAAGGGGGGGAAGAGGTGGGGGGAAGGGGGAGGAGAGGTGGGGGGGAAGGGGGGGAAGAGGTGGGGGGGGGGAAGGGGTGGAGAGGTGGGGGGAAGAGGGAGGAGAGGTGGGGGTGGAGGGAGGGGTGGGGGGAGGGGTGGGGGGGAGGGGTGGGGGGAGGGGTGGGGGGAGAGGTGGGGAAAGGGGTGGGGGAAGGGGTGGGGAAAGGGGTGGGGGAGGGAAGGGGTGGGGGAAGGGGTGGGGGGCAGGGGTGGGGAAGGGGTGGGGGAAGGGGTGGGGGAAGGGGTGGGGAAGGGTGGGGGAAGGGGTGGGGGAAGGGGTGGGGGAAGGGGTGGGGAAAGGGGTGGGGGAAGGGGTGGGGGAAGGGGTGGGGGAAGGGGTGGGGGAAGGGGTGGGGGAAGGGGTGGGGAAGGGGGGGGGAAGGGGGGGGGAAGGGGGGGGGAAGGGGTGGGGGAAGGGGTGGGGGAAGGGGTGGGGGAAGGGGTGGGGGAAGGGGTGGGGGAAGGGGTGGGGGAAGGGGTGGGGGAAGGGGTGGGGGAAGGGGTGGGGGAAGGGGTGGGGAAGGGGTGGGGGAAGGGGTGGGGGAAGGGGTGGGGAAGGGGTGGGGGAAGGGGTGGGGGAAGGGGTGGGGGAAGGGGTGGGGGAAGGGGTGGGGGAAGGGGTGGGGAAGGGGTGGGGGAAGGGGTGGGGGAAGGGGTGGGGGAAGGGGTGGGGAAGGGGTGGGGGAAGGGGTGGGGGAAGGGGTGGGGGAAGGGGTGGGGGAAGGGGTGGGGGAAGGGGTGGGGGAAGGGGTGGGGGAAGGGGTGGGGGAAGGGGTGGGGGAAGAGGTGGGGGAAGGGTGGGAGGAGAGGTGGGAGGAGAGGTGGGAGGAGAGGTGGGAGGAGAGGTGGGAGGAGAGGTGGGAGGAGAGGTGGGAGGAGAGGTGGGAGGAGAGGTGGGAGGAGAGGTGGGAGGAGAGGTGGGAGGAGAGGTGGGAGGAGAGGTGGGAGGAGAGGTGGGAGGAGAGGTGGGAGGAGAGGTGGGAGGAGAGGTGGGAGGAGAGGTGGGAGGAGAGGTGGGAGGAGAGGTGGAGGAGAGGTGGGAGGAGAGGTGGGGAGGAGAGGTGGGAGGAGAGGTGGGAGGAGAGGTGAGGGAATAGATGAGCGTTATTGAAGCTGTCGTTATGGAAGAGATGAGAAAAGGAAGATGACCAGCACAATCAGAGGAAGCGGAGCAATGTGAGGAGTGAGAGGAGGGTGGAGGAATGGGGGAGGGGGAGGCTGGGGCCACTGAAAGAGCAGGAGGATCAGGGAGAGCATCAAGCGAGGAGGTGGGGGAAGGGGAGAGAGGGGAGGAGAGAGAGGGGAGGGGAGGAGAGAGGGAGGGAAGAGGAGGGGAGAGGGAGTCGCGGACCCGAGGCTGTGCAAACTGAAAGCGGCGTCCATTATTGCTACGGTCGGGAATGCTGCACACGGACTACAGCGCGTAGCTCGTCACGCAGAGTGGCACAGTCAGGCTGTAGCACGCAGGCTGTCACGCAGAGTGGCACAGTCAGGCTGTAGACACACTCCTGCCCAGGAGGAGCCTCTCTCTACTCGGCCATGAATCCGCTGCTTCTGTTGCTGCTGCTGCCCAGTTTATCCTTGATTCTCGTGTGCGCGACGGGTGAGTCGGTCTACGAATCCATCTTCCCCCCTCCTACACCCCGTGCTTTCCTCCATCTTCCTATTCCCTCCTCCACCCCCTTCGCTCCGATGTTCCCTCCTAATCCACCGTTTCCACAGATTCCACCGATCTCTCCTATCGGGTATACTTGAGCAGTACTCGACACCAGGTGATGATGCTCCTGATGACAATTGTTCGTGATGAGGGTCAAATAGGTTTCCTGCTCAAACGAGCATTCAGGAGTTGCTCATCTGTTTGCAGCCCTGCAGAGCCAGTGGCGGACATTCCGTATTCTTATGGCACAGCGGCAGAGGCTGGGAGATGGGCGTGATCGACTCATTCACCCACAACCAGAATTTTAACTCGCAACCTTCTGACTGGACGTCGCTCACCCAAACCGCTGAGCCACATGCGCGGGTGTGGTGTCTTGCCACGGTGATGATGTTGAGAGTGACGATGATGGGATCTTGTTGTGAAAATGAGCCAATTTCGCTTCAATGACATCGCATTGAAGAAGAGGTTACCCAATTTAATTATCTGATAACCTCACTGACGATCAGAGAGCATCGCTACGTATCAAAGTAAATACTCAACGATACCCCTTCCTGCGTCTCTCCGCATCATCTGACACGCCGACGTCTGCGCGTGAATGTTTAAACAGCATTAGTTTAATACAGTACAATGACATTCAATGTCTCGTCCGCAGTTAGCCTTGCTTAAACCAGATGACCCTATTTCCTATCAGATTTATCATATTGATAATGAAATGACCCTATTGATTGTGTTTTTCAATAATCACATGGGTTGCGGCAGACTGGATGAGGCATGTGACTCGTCACCATAGCTATGGTGGGAGCTCGGCTGGATGTTGATTTGCCGAGCGGAGAAAGAGTCTTGGATGGGTCGCTGACCCGGGTACGAATGTCAAACCGACCCCAGGAACAGGCCTACAGATTTTTTTAACATTTCTGTGCGGTCTTGGGGGTGGGAAACCCCTTTGTCCAGACCACATCATGGGGCAAGTTGGTGTTGACCCGTTGGGGATGCTGCAAGTCAAATACTGTAGGTCATCGAGACACCCACCCTCTGTGAGTGTCTGCATGACATGCACGCTGCCCTATGTGACGTCCTTACAACTGCCTGGTCCACGGGACGAGTTCCGCAGGATTGCGACGATGGCCTGGTGGCTTCACCTTCTTGGACGGGAGACCGCACCGATTGCAACAACTACCGGGACATCTCTCTCCTCAATGTTAGGCAGAAAAAGACGCTGGCAAGGATTGTTGAACATTGCTAGCCAGGCACGCCGAGGAGAGGCTGGCAGAGCCCCAATGTGGTTTCAGGCCAGGACGGTCCTTCATTGATGCCATATTCTCTGTCCATCTGCTACAGCAGAGGTGTCGGGAATTTCAGCAGGACCTACAGGTCCAGGTATAGCTGCGTAGCTGAGATTTGTAATCGTCCCCTGTTCACTTTTGGGTGCGACAGGGATGTCTGCTGGCTCCTACACTATTTAACATCCATTTTTGCCAAGTCGTTATAGACACTTTCTTATGTCTGTACCAAAGGAATTTCTCTACAGACGCAATGGGAAGCTGATTGATGCCCAGGTGAGGTACATGGATGGTCTTCTTGATCATACATACATCACACGCAAACGTATGCATCAAATGCGAGTATAAATACATCACACACATATCTATGAAGACATTACAAACGTAACACATGCGTGTACCAATAAATCAAACATACATCAAACCCACACGTTGCACCACACATACACATACACATGCATATACGCACACACCGTGTGTGCGTATATGCGGCTGTATATTTGTAATTTACATGTTCTCGCCGTGTCCGCTTGGATATTCTGCTGGGTCCTCCGGGTTTCCCACCCACATTTAGGAACATGGCTGCAATGCATTTCCACACGATACGCCACTTTATTGAGCTATCATTTGTAGCCAAGTCGCTTCTGAAAAAGAGCTACATAGCTCAAAAAGCCTTACGAATAAATAAAAAATAAATAAATATCACAAACATACTATATCATACATAACGTACACCACATGTGTACACGTCATACCTCAGTTAAGTTCATTTCAGTCCATTTATTATGGATAGCGCTGTGAGCCATGCGGCTCTTGACTCGGGTGCAACCGCAACAAACAAAAACATGAACAAGAAACATCTTAAAGTGGCTACACGCAACAGAAAAATCAAGGAAAAAAACAGCAAAGTCTTCCAGAAAAAGCACCGTATATGAATGCTGTGTGCAAAAATCCCAGTGGGATGCAAGTCAAACAATAACAACCACAAGACAATTTAGATTAAAGTTATCAGTCTAACTCTGTACTACAACAAACAAATATGGCTAAACCAAAACGTTTTCGAAATCACCAAAATAAAGCGATAAAAACAATGTAACAGTGATCATAGGAACTGTGATTCAAATTTAACAATAAACGATATACAAAACATGTACGACCAAACTTTGCAGCCATAGCTGGCAGCATGAGTCACTCCATAACAGCAGGAGTATCAGTAGGAGTATCAAAAGTTTTCAATGCACCTTTATAGATAAGCACACATTAATCAAAACTCAAGATCATACTTTGCAGCGGTCATCCGGAGCGATACATTTGATTTCAGGCCACTGAATAGCAGTGGCAGCTAGGAGTGTACAACTCCTATAGAGCAGTTTTGAGTGAAGATCTCACAAGTAGTGATCCAAGTTGCAATTTATTGGCGATAGCATTCCAGAACCTGGGGGCATCAATAGCAAAGGCCCTTCCTCCAGTATTTATACGGCAATAAGGAATGTGAAGCTGGTAAATGAGCGAAGACCTTAGGTCACATTTGTTCTTCGACACAGTGAGGAGATCCAGCAGGTAGTCTGCTGATTTTTTTGTAAAATAAATCAGATCTGATGCACCAGCCATCGATTATTAAGAGATGTTAAGTTTGACCCAATGTAGAGATTGCGGTGGTGGGTCCTATATGGGCAGTTCAATGCCTGCACAAGAGGCGTCACCACATTGTGCCAAGCTAGGTGTACTTTGAGGCAATTGCGTGAAGTGTAGAAGGCTCACTGGCAGGAGGTCGTGGGACGCCCAGGTGCCAAGGGTTGACTCACTGAAATGACCGGTCGATGCACCGTTTGCGCTCCCCACTGCACAAACTTTGTTTTATCCGCCCGGCGATCCGCTTGTTGTTGTGAGCAACGCTCCTCCACCCTCCGTTGTTGCTGGAGGGCTATTGCCTCCCAACTGCCCAATAGCGTCCTTCATGAGCCTCCTCCATAGAGGCCGATCTTGACACCGCTGGTACCGGTTATCGGCAATTCCATTCAGTTGCACATTCTCCTCTACCTCATCAGCTCCAACTCTTCTCTTGCCCGTGCTGCATCCATTTAAGCCCCCTCTGTCCGGCCAAACAAAAGCTGCTTGGTCATGCGGTGGCTGGGCATGCAGGCTACATAACCAAACCAACGCACCCTCGCCTACCGGAGAAGTTGACGAATGTGACTGTGTACAGATCTTTCACAAATCGCACACACACTCCCCACAGGAACCACAAAGACAAAAATATGCCCCGTATAGCCTTAACCAACTGTTGTGGTAAGTGATATTGGTAAGCACCTATGAAGGCCGGCACAGTACACGAGAGGGTGGGCAGCCAGGACTATGCTCGGTCGCCTTTGTCTCCCTCGTGGTGATGGGGTTGGGGGGGTGTAAAATAGGGTATTCATTTTTTGGGGGGGAGGGGGCAGTGGGAGTGCGACTTATCAATCCTTTTGCCCTCTCCTCGCCACACCCCCGATTCAATTCAAGAATCAATTATTTTTAAAATATGTTTCTCTGAAGGGTCTTTCTAACTGCAGTGGCCGTCCAGTGATGGGGGCGCTATCTTCTGAAGAAGGCCATCTGCAGATCGTGTATTTCTGAAGGAGCTGTCCATGCAGCGGGGGTGCTGAATTAAAACAATACGTCATATAGGTGCTCTGCTGTCATGACTGTGGTCACGATCCTATAGGCGATCATTGCATTGGGTGACTAGTGAATGTACGTCTCTGTATTGAGTGGCTTGTGAATTGCTGTGCACTGAATTGAGTGATTGAGGGATTATTGAATGGTTAGCCAAAAGCCGCTGCGAAATCTGGACTGCGTTCAAATCTTACAAAGGTCTGTGAGCTCGTCACACATTCAAAATATTAAACCTAGAATGGATCGTAGGCAGGCCAGTCTCTTTCAAAACAATGCAGATGTTCCTCTGAAGGGGTCCATGTTTTGCAACCATAGATATATGGGAGGACAATGGTGGCTGAGAAGACGCGGAGTTTTGTATGGCGTGATAGGCCAGTACATTTCCACAGCAATATGCAGCCAATCAAAGGACAATACCCATTGGCGAATTCAAAGTGAGACCTTTGCAGCCAAACCGGAGCTGGCCATAGGCATTGTGCACTGCCCAGATATGGAAACACCGCACCAGGTACTAAATGTAAATGTGAGTCCCCCGAGGGAAGGGCTCGGGATCGGACCGGGAGAGTGGGGAGCGGGGAGAAATGAGGGAGAGGAAATGGTGAACGTGAGGTGAGGGGAGAGTGGGGAGGGGTGGAAGGGTAAGAGGTGAGTGGGGGGTGAGGTGAAGTGAGAGGTGGTGCGAGATGTGGGTGGGTTGATGCGGCGGTGGAGCTGTGCGTCATTAACTCGGTTGCCATGGGCGACCCTTGGCAGCTCGAGTATTCATCAGCGACACTCATTGGCCGCATCATCTTCCCGCTCTTCCAACCTCCTCACCCCCCACTGATCGATTCGTCACGATTGGAGGTCACGATTCAAGTCAATATTTGATTATTTCGTCTTATTTTTAATCGCCTCGTTTGTGTTGCGATGTGTGCTGACTCGGCACAGTTTTACTTGTTTAATGTTAACTGTGGCAGCTCATTTGCGTAATCAAACTTAAAATGCGCGATTCCAAGGTTAGAATTTTAT